GTTCCCCACTGTCCGGTTGGTTTGTGTCGTCCGGTCCAATTTCGTCAACCTTACGCTGGTTCCTGCTATGAAAGGATGTAGGCCTATACTGCCTGTTTCTGGGCTGTCTCTGCTGTGAGCTCCACCTGTCTTGTGATGGTGGACGTCTAGGAGGGATCTTCGGTTTGACCTGTTCCTTCGTCTTTCGACACATCTTCGCCCAGTGTCCTTTGACGCCACACGAATTGCACAGGTCCCCGAAGGCTGGACACCTCTTTGGAAGGTGTGAAAGACCACAGTTCCTGCATTTCTGCCTACTGTCGTGACTAACAGCATCAATGTTCCCACTTCCAATGGTGTGGAGCGTCTGCAGGCACTGTTTACCGACTTGAATGGCCTCATATTTGCGGCCTTCTTCAAGAAGCTTATCAATTGAGAACCCCTTTTCTTTGTCGAGTAGGTCTTTCTGAAACGACTCGAGTTGTGTAGACGAAATCACCAGCTCTATGAGTCTTTCACTCAATTCCCCCTCGGTGAACTTGCATTCCTTTGCCTTACTCCGACATCTATTGACGAACTCGTCGATCGTTTCTCCAGACATCTGCTTGTATCGCATTAATTCGAGACGATGAATCCTGAAGTTCACTTTGACATTCAGTTGGCCTTCGATTAGGGCCCATAGCTTGCTTGGGTCCTTCTGATCCTCTACACCGAGGCTAGAGGCGTTTATCCTGCGTAACCCTTCGTTCCCAAGAGCTATCTTTATTTTTGTTGCCTGTTTTGTAGTATCAGTTATCTCATTATCGAGAAGGCAAAGTTCCATTCGCTGTTGAAATAACGTGAATTCTTCAGCGAGACCACACTGAGGGTCCCACTTCATCTCTGGATAGCGAGCCATGGTCCTGGTTTCTACAATGGGGTCTTGGACTACACAGGTAATTACATGTAATACATGAATTGTGACTTAAATCGACATGTAGGCCTACATAGCAATTAACATTTACACTATAGACTAGATCTATATGTACAACTTCAAAATGTAGGTTCAAATGTATCAAAATATATCAAGTCTAGACCCATAGACAATTAGACCCCCTTGTGTAAGTGGTCTAGCAAAGACAACTGGTCCTGGACCCGCTTTAAGGGGATACCACGGACCACTGTTTGGTCTATAGTACAAGTGGCAGTAGAGTCTACCACCACTAGATCTAGATCTAAGTTAGTAATAGTACATCAGCACTTCTACATACATGTAAGAGATATGTGTGTATCATTCACTTAATTAGGACAGGTCCACATGTAGAAATTGGACTTGTTAAGGTCTAAAGTAAACACATCTAGAAATCTAGACTAGGCCTAGTCCAGATCTAGACCAGGTCCAGTAATATAGACTCTAGAACAAGGTGAAAGTAGATTTTGATCAAATTACACCTTTATATCTTAGTCATACTCATTCTCATACTCGGTCTAGTCTAGATCCATAAGTGGATTCTAGACTAGAAAAAAGTGTCTAGACTATCTATCTAGGCTAGGTCTTGATCTAGACCCCTAGACTAGACTAGACTCTAGTCCAGTTTTATACGACAAACAAAGCACATTAATTATGGTTTAATTGTTTCAAACCGAGTCCAAACATTATATGTCTGCTTAGATTATAGTCCATTTGATTGAGAGTCTAATCTAGTTTTCATTCCACAATCAGATCCGGCCAAGTCCAGCAATCAGTCCTGGATCTACTTGCACGGTCCGCAACACGACGCTCTGGGTCCGAGTGGCGGCTAGTTCCAAAACCATAATGCAGTGCAGGGCTGGAAGTCCGAGGTAGCGGCCTTAGAGCTGTACTGTTCCCGGTCCCGGTCGAGCCTCTAGGCTCTGGTCTTGTCGAGCCTCTAGGCTCTTCTCCTGACGAGCCTCTAGGCTCTGCTCCTGGCGAGCCTCTAGGCTCTGGTTCTGCCTCCGCATCAGTTCTGGTCCTGAATGTATAGGGCTTTAGTCTGACAGTCAATACACTAGTCTACTCGTAGCGTTTCCCGCGTAATATAGTGCGCAACCTTACGCCGACACAAAGTCATATTGGAGACGCGGCTGTGAGTTTACTCTGCTGGCTGTGCAGTGTGATTGTCGGCAGTTCAAAAACCGTCCCTTATCAATCTTTCATAAGTCATTCAAGATTATTGCTTGCCCTATGTGATCTGCAGTTCAATAGTATACAAATAACGCACGTCCCAGAGTGCAATAGCGGTGAATGCAGTACTAGGGTGTCTGAACGATTTTTCAATTTTCAATTTGGGATCGTTTTTCACCATTGTTGTTTGATATTTGAATAAAAAATGTTATCAGAATAATACATTTCAAATTTCAAGTCTCACCGATGTTTCTATCAAAAGTTACAGCCCCTCCAACACGCTGGTATATTCATATCATTTTGGTCAAAATCGACGAAAAAGACGTCCACGCAGAGTGATGTTGTTTTGCTAAATTTAGCCAAACAGCTGTATCGCGCGATATGCAAGCGTATGCATATCGTACGCATGCTGCTAAGCCAATCCGCGACTTGCAGCTTGAGCTACGCTGTCTCCGCGACATGTGCGATTGACTAGTATGGTTGGCGTTCGTCGCACAATAAACCCGGAAGTGAATGCACGTTATAGTCAATGGCAATATCGCGGAGACAACGCACGTTGTCTCCGCGATATTGCCATTGACTATAACGTGTATTCACTTCCGGGTTTATCGAGGGAATTGCCAACCATAATTTCAGTCACTATAATTTGGGGTTTCGTTCGTGCGCGGAGATGTTACGCGATGTAACCATGGTTTGGACTGAGCGGAGCGCACGCCTCCTAATTAGCTGATCCACCAAATAGCGAGAAGGGTATTTTTAAACTGTTATCAGTTGTGATCCCTGGGGGCTAGCGAAAATACAATCACATAGAATTGTTCCTTAGGACTGGGACTACTTATCGATCGGGGCGTCATATCTCAAAAGTGACAAACCTGAGAGTTAGCCAGGACACAATGTTTAAATTGCTGTTTTGACCAAGATATTTTTAGAATTTCGGGGGCTACGCCCCTTTGGAAATATTGGAATTCACCTGCTCTTTCATATGACACCTCATTCATTGATTATCACCTTCTGGATCACAACTGATAAAGGTTTGAATCTCGATTTGAAAAAAAAAAATTGACTTTTTTTGCATGGTCGCGCAATGCACGTAGGCTGCATAGGGATGCGTGTAATCTCTATGGGAAGAATTTTAGCACACAACATCGGGTGCGCGATCAGACACCCTAGCAGTACACGCGAGGTTTCTTTAGATTGGTGCCGCTCTGTGCAACGAGCCGCTTGCGGCGAGTTGACAGTGCGAACCATCTGAAGAAACCGAGCGTTTACTGCATTTACGTTTTGCACAACAGGGTCAAGTGCGTTATTTGTTTTATAAAATAGCGACACAAATAGCAAAAACGAAACTTTAGATCTAATAAGTTATAGAGTCTACGAGAGTTCGATCTAGATCTAGAGTCATGTTGGTTCTACTTCTAATTAGACTAAGACCTTGCAGGCTTACCAAAAAGTCAATGGGATTCATTGCCTTGGCTTGATTAAAAATAAAATCCATACAGTGGGTCTAGAGACGAGTCTACATCAGACAGCTGAAATTCCTGGCTTCATTATAAAATCCAAAAGTCAAAACAGGCCTAAATCCAAGGGAAAAGTAAAATAAAAATTTGCTTTTTAATAATACCCCGCTGGCCGCTCTAGCTAGATAGCTAGAGCTAGCTACGCGTACGTTGCGCTGGGGATCATGGTGGAGCGTACAATATTAGCTACGCGTAGCCTACAATAATTGCAATGCAACTCGAGGGAGCGCGTACTACACGTACGCGCGCGCACTGGATCTCCATGGTCACGCGTACGCACCGTGCAATATAACTTTTTACTGCGCTTTTTCTGCACTCATTTCTGCAAAATCGTGCTTGCATCAAATTTTTTTCAATGTCATGTGACGCGTATTGACCAATCACGATGCTTAAAATACTAGAGCCATTTTATAATAATAGATATGGCAATTCTTTTGACCGCTGCCACCATGTTGAAAGATCAGATGAACGGATAAATAAGAGATCACTGTAGACAAGGTTCATGTATAAGTGGCCATCTTGAAAGTGCTTTATTCATGTATCCTTCCGCCAATCGCGGCCTCATTACGCACATCAATGAACTATTGATGTTGTTCATATAGTACCACAACAACCCCCCCCCCCCCCCCCCCAACAGAACAAAATGTCAAATTTTGAATTTCGAGACAAAAAAAAAGTGTCCTCTTACCCCAAAACAAAATAGCTTGTCATATATTATACCTAGTATATAGTATGTATATAGTATGTATAGTATATAGTATGTAGTATATGCAATTTGCATATATGCCTACTGACTATTGAAATCCATATTTGTAACAGCTGAATACAATATTTTGTATCAAGGCCCGTTAAATTTGGTTACATACATCTACATTTGCCACAATCCACCCAGGTGAGGGGCCCACCCGGTATATAGGACGAAATTCCTTGAATCGGGTTGAGCGCCTTTTCCAGTGTTATCTCGGCTAAATTAGCCTGGGTAGTAATATGAATGCAGGGGCGGCAGGGAGAACAGTATTAATACTGATAAGGTATACAATACCCTCGGTAAAGAAGAATATTAGTATGATTATTATCATTACCATCAGGCCTGATTACCATTATTATTATTGTTTTTATTATTATTATCACTATTATTATTATTATTATATTATTATCACTATAATTATTATTATTATTATATTATTATCACTTTTGTTATTATTATGATTATTGTTATAATTATAATTGTTGTTATTATTATGATTATTGTTATCATTATTGTATACCTCGACGTCGCGACCTCTTTGAGAATTTGTTCTCAACTCTGCTTCCGAAAATGAATTTGAAGACACCATAATTATAATAAATTAAGAGTCCATTTCGACACTCGTCGCTAGGACGCGAGAGACTCTTAGGTTAGCGCCTATCAAATATCAAGTCAAAGCCTGAATTTTGCAGGATACTCATGTGGTAGAATAATGATTGTGCACCAGTAGATCATGCCCCTGTCTATTCCAGTAAGTATTCATTGTATTTAAGCGTCATTAAAACCTTTTAGAATTTCATTTAACTTTGCCATCCGGCGCGGCCGCGCCGCGGCTGCGGCATCCCATCAGGGCATAGTCTTCGCCTCGCTTGTCCCCATCGCGTCGGGACGGACGCCTGGTTATTGCCGCGCCGGCGAACTGACCCGTTCCAATACTTCACTTGACTAAACCAAGGCCTCCCGATCCCATTAATTCTTACAACTTTACTCTTTGTATTGTTAGGCTGCCTTAGTAGTTTGCATGGTTAGTAACTTGGTCTTACTAGTGTGGCCGGCTGCATGGTTCGAATGACATACAAAACAATACACCACCAGTTGATCATTGATGGTTGCAACGCCAACAATGCGCATGCGCAGACAGGTAGCCTCTAATCGGGCACATCTACAAGGAGGTCAATGAATATGCATATCAGTGACGTCGTGTCAATTCATGAATATTGATGTTCTTGACTGCGCGCGTACGATCGTACGTACGTACGTGCAGAATTGGGGTCATGACTGTACAATGAAGGTAATACGTGCAACACAGTGGTTCAGCCAAATCAGGGCAAAATCTTACCATTATACAGTTGTATTGTCCGTGATTATGAGGTAGAAGTGTTTGAGTGTTAAGTAAATTTATTTAGTGTGGATTTTGATACATTTTTGATACAGTTTATACAAAAATGGCGATTCTTGTGGTCGTTTTTTAACTCCAAAAAACAAGTGACGAACTCGGTCGTCGGCTAAACCACCTCCCTGTAGATGTGCCCGCCTACCTCTACATGTAGGGTGTCTGATCGCGCACCCAATGTTGTGTGCTAAAACCCTTCCCATAGAGATTGTACGCTTCCCTATGTGGTCTACGTGCATTGCGCGACCATCCAAAATTGGTCAATGATTTTATGAAAAAATTTGAAATTCAAACCTTTATAACAAATGATCCTGAAGGTGAAACTCAATAAATGAGGTGTCATATGAAAGAGCAGGTTTTTCTCCATATTCCCCATAGGGGGCCACCCCCAGAATTCTAAAAATATCTTGGTCAAAACAGCGATTGAAATGTTGTTTGCATCCTAGCTCCAAAATTTGCCACTTTCCTGAGCTGCGCCCCCGCGGCTTAAGCAGGGCTAGACGTAAGGATAATATCCAGATGCTTTTTTTTTCGCTAGCCCCAAGGGATCATTTGTTATAACAGTTTGAAAATACCCTTCCCACATTTTTGGAATCAGCTAATTAGGGAGGCGTGAGCTCCGCTCAGTCCAAACCATGGTTACATCGTAACATGTGCGCTTATAGTGAATGAAAGTATGGGTGGCCGATTCTCGCCATAGAACCCGGAAGTGAATACACGTTGTAGTCAATGGCAATATCGCGGAGATTGTCTCCGCGATATTGCCATTGACTACAACGTGTATTCACTTCCGGGTTCTATAGCGGGAACGGCCACCCATACTAGTCAATGGCACATATCGCGGAGACAGCGTGGCTCAAGCTTGCAAGTCGCGCATTGGCTGAGCAACTTGCGTACGATATGCATACGCTTGCATATCGCGCGATACAGCTGTTTGGCTAAATTTAGCAAAACAACATAACTCTGCGTGTACGTCTTTTTCGTCGATTCTGAGCAAAATGCTATGAATATTTCAGCATTTTGAAGGGGCTGTATCTTTTGATAGAAACATCGGCGAGACTTGAAATTTGAAATGTATTATTCTGATTACATTTTTAATTCAAATATCAAACAAAAATGGTGAAAAATGATCCCAAATTGAAAATTGAAAAATCGTTCAGACACCCTACTACATGTACCCGATCGAGATAGGGATCGAGTTGTGTAATAGTATTCTATATTCAATATCCGAGAGTTAACGGATGTAACATTAAAGCTCCCTTATATATGAGTTTACAACTATCAATTCAACATCTTTGCATTGATTTTCTTTGAGGTATACGTGTTTAACGTTGTCAATACATCACCTCCCTGTAGATGTGCCCGCCTCCCGCTACATGTGCCCGAGATAGGGGATATGTAGTAAGGCATACAACTTAGTGTTGTAGCCTAGAATTTCCGACATGTCATGAATATAATAAAGCTTCCTAAGATACAAATGAGTTTCATAAATATCAATTTATCTTCTTTTCATGGATTTTCTTTGGATTCTACGTGTTTTACGTTGTCAAATAACCACCTCCCTGTAGATGTGCCCGCCTCCCGCTACATGTGCCCGAGATAGGGGATATGTAGTAAGGCATACAACTTAGTGTTGTAGCCTATATTGAATTTCCGACATGTCATGAATATAATAAAGCTTCCTAAGATACAAATGAGTTTCATAAATATCAATTTATCTTCTTTTCATGGATTTTCTTTGGATTCTACGTGTTTTACGTTGTCAAATAACCACCTCCCTGTAGATGTGCCCGCCTCCCGCTACATGTGCCCGAGATAGGGGATAGACCTATGTATAGTAAGGCATACAACTTAGTGTTGTAGTAGCCTATATTGAATTTCCGACATGTCATGAATATAATAAAGCTTCCTAAGATACAATTGAGTTTCACAAATATCAATTTATCTTCTTTTCATGGATTTTCTTTGGATTCTACGTGTTTTACGTTGTCAAACAACCACCTCCCTGTAGATGTGCCCGCCTCCCTCTACATGTGCCCGATATAGGGGGAGTGTAGAAAATAGGCATATACAACTGCTGTTGTTAATTGAATTTCCGACATGAATGTAAAGGATGACATTTCACCATTATTTGTTAACAACCGTTATGGAATTAGAAATAAACCACGTTTGAATTTTATTTCCCCAAAGCCCCCCCCCCCCCCGATCTACACCTTGTTGGAATTGCAACTGATATCCCTTACCTTTCTTCATTCTCTTTTTTTCTTCTTTTCTTTCTCTCCTCTTTCCCTTTCCCTTCCCTTCCTTCCCTCTCTCTCTTTTAGATTTGCTGGGGGTGGGGGGGGGGGGGGGCAAGGTCATTTTGACCCCCACCCGCTCCACACATTGTTGGCGGGATTAACCGCAACTGATCTCCCCTCTTTTCTCCCTTTTCTTTTCTTCTTCCTCTTCCTCTTTTTTGTTCCCTTTTAGCTCTCCTCTTTTCCTTTTCATTCCTTTTCTCTTTTTTTTTAGCAGGGACGGGGGGGGGGGGGGGGGGGGGGGGGGGGGGGGGGGGGGGGGGGGGGGGGGGGGGGCAAGGGCCTTCCCCCCCCCCCTATCCACAACTTGTTGGCAGGAAAATTGCAACTGATATCCCCCTTCTTTTCTTTTCTTCTTCCTCTTTTTTCCTTCCCTTTATCTCCTCTTTTCCTTTTTTTCTTTCCCTTTCCTTCCTTCTCTTTTATTTTTTGATTGGGGGGGGGGGGGGGGGGCAACAGCCTGGAAGGCAAGTCCCCGATCTCCTTCTTCCCTCTTTTCTTTTCTTCTTCCTCTTCTTTTTTCCTTTCTCTCTTACCCATTCCCTTTTTTTCCTTCTCGCTCTCTCCTTTTTTTTTTTTTTGGCTGGGGGGCTCGGCCCTCCCTTGATCCGCGCTTGGTAACACCTACCTTTTAACTTTGTTTAACAGTGTAGAGGCCTGTACTATTACATTTATTTTCTGTGTTTGCTTTGAATTTACCATGTCTCGAATGAATTAATCAATGATTATTTTTTATTGAACCTGCATTCAAATTTATGTTTACATTCCGTATTTATCATGTGTTTGTTCTGTGTTTATCATTATATCAGGCCCCCTTGTTGCTACGAGGGCTAGATATCCCACCCCAAAATAAAAACGAAGACAAATTTCTCACGGCATTTTTTACTTTAATTGTGTTGCACTAAAAAGACCTTTTGCAGACCTCCTTACCCACCACCATCATCACACCCTCACCCCAACAAAAAAGACAATAAAATAATGTTTAATTCATATTTGGATTGCATTATCTCTTTGTACGATACATGACGCGAAAACCGTCAAGGTCCGAAAGTGTTCAAGCCCCCTATCCCCCAAAGTCTCAAACAAATCACAATTCCGAAGTGCCCCCCCCCCCACCTCTCACCCCTCTCCGGACAGTAAGGAGGCTCTTGGTCCGGCCCAACCCCGCGTGTCTTCTTGCTCCCTCGACGAGACAACTCCACCCAACAACCCCCTCTCTCGTTTACTCCCACTCTCCTCTATCAGGCTCTTACCTCCACTTGTTTCCTTTTTCTCTTTTTGTTTTCTTCTTCCTTTTTCCTTTTTTTCTTTTCTTTCTTTTCCTTTCTTTCCTCTCCTCCTTCTTTTTCTCTCTCCTTTCTTTTCCTTTTCCTATTTTCTTTTCCTTTCTTTCCCTCTCTTTCTTCCCCTCCCCTTATTTCTTTTTTCCCGACGGCAGCGCAATTTTACCGACAATATCCTGACAGGTGGGGGGGGGGGGGGGTTGTCGCACCCCCACACTCCCCTCTTTGGAGACGCCCCTAGTATGCACTGTTTCGTTCTTGAAGCAGTGTTATATTATATGTACACAAACAAATTACCTTACAGAAAACATTAACATACCCAGAGAAAGTAGTCCGTCAAATGAATCATTATCAAACAAATAAATTACTCAAAAGTATACTGAGTAATAATCAACAATCATAATTATTAAAGGATACTGATTTTAAATACAGGCCTCTACACTGTAGGTAGGTGTTACCAAGCGGATCAAGGGAGGGCCGAGCCCCCGGCCCCAGCCAAAAAAAAAAAAAGGAGAGAGCGAGAAGGAAAAGAAGGGAAAGGGAAAGAGAGAAAGGGAAAAAAGAAGAGGAAGAAGAAAAGAAAAGAGGGAAGAAGGAGATCGGGGACTTGCCTTCCAGGCTGTTGCCCCCCCCCCCCCAATCAAAAAATAAAAGAGAAGGAAGGAAAGGGAAAGAAAAAAGGGGAAAGAGGAGATAAAGGGAAGGAAAAAAGAGGAAGAAGAAAAGAAAAGAAGGGGGGATATCAGTTGCAATTTTCCTGCCAACAAGTTGTGGATGGGGGGGGGGGGGAAGGCCCTTGCCCCCCCCCCCCCCCCCCCCCCCCCCCCCCCCCCCCCCCCCCCCCCCCCCCCCCCCCCCCCGTCCCTGCTAAAAAAAAAAAGAGAAAAGGAATGAAAAGGAAAAGAGGAGAGCTAAAAGGGAACAAAAAAGAGGAAGAAGAAAAGAAAAGGGAGAAAAGAAGGGGAGATCAGTTGCGGTTAATCCCGCCAACAATGTGTGGAGCGGGTGGGGGTCAAAATGACCTTGCCCCCCCCCCCCCCCACCCCCAGCAAATCTAAAAGAGAGAGAGGGAAGGAAGGGAAGGGAAAGGGAAAGAGGAGAGAAAGAAAAAGAAGAAAAAAAGAGAATGAAGAAAGGTAAGGATATCAGTTGCAATTCCAACAAGGTGTAGATCGGGGGGGGGGGGGGGGGGGGGGGCTTTGGGGAAATAAAATTCAAACGTGGTTTATTTCTAATTCCATAACGGTTGTTTACAAATAATGGTGAAATGACATCCTTTACATTCATGTCGGAAATTCAATTAACAACAGTAGTTGTATATGCCTATTTTCTATACTCCCCCTATATCGGGCACATGTAGAGGGAGGCGGGCACATCTACAGGGAGGTGGTTGTTTGACAACGTAAAACACGTAGAATCCAAAGAAAATCCATGAAAAGAAGATAAATTGATATTTATGAAACTCATTTGTATCTTAGGAAGCTTTATTATATTCATGACATGTCGGAAATTCAATATAGGCTACAACACTAAGTTGTATGCCTTTAATATCCCCTATCAGTCGGGCACATGTAGCGGGAGGCGGGCACATCTACAGGGAGGTGGTTATATTTGACAACGTAAAACACGTAGAATCCAAAGAAAATCCATGAAAAGAAGATAAATTGATATTTATGAAACTCATTTGTATCTTAGGAAGCTTTATTATATTCATGACATGTCGGAAATTCAATATAGGCTACAACACTAAGTTGTATGCCTTACTATACATATCCCCTATCTCGGGCACATGTAGCGGGAGGCGGGCACATCTACAGGGAGGTGGTTATTTGACAACGTAAAACACGTAGAATCCAAAGAAAATCCATGAAAAGAAGATAAATTGATATTTATGAAACTCCTTTGTATCTTAGGAAGCTTTATTATATTCATGACATGTCGGAAATTCAATATAGGCTACAACACTAAGTTGTATGCCTTACTATACATATCCCCTATCTCGGGCACATGTAGCGGGAGGCGGGCACATCTACAGGGAGGTGGTTATTTGACAACGTAAAACACGTAGAATCCAAAGAAAATCCATGAAAAGAAGATAAATTGATATTTATGAAACTCCTTTGTATCTTAGGAAGCTTTATTATATTCATGACATGTCGGAAATTCAATATAGGCTACAACACTAAGTTGTATGCCTTACTACATATCCCCTATCTCGGGCACATGTAGCGGGAGGCGGGCACATCTACAGGGAGGTGGTTATTTGACAACGTAAAACACGTAGAATCCAAAGAAAATCCATGAAAAGAAGATAAATTGATATTTGTGAAACTCAATTGTATCTTAGGAAGCTTTATTATATTCATGACATGTCGGAAATTCAATATAGGCTACTACAACACTAAGTTGTATGCCTTACTATACATATCCCCTATCTCGGGCACATGTAGCGGGAGGCGGGCACATCTACAGGGAGGTGGTTATTTGACAACGTAAAACACGTAGAATCCAAAGAAAATCCATGAAAAGAAGATAAATTGATATTTATGAAACTCCTTTGTATCTTAGGAAGCTTTATTATATTCATGACATGTCGGAAATTCAATATAGGCTACAACACTAAGTTGTATGCCTTACTATACATATCCCCTATCTCGGGCACATGTAGCGGGAGGCGGGCACATCTCCAGGGAGGTGGTTATTTGACAACGTAAAACACGTAGAATCCAAAGAAAATCCATGAAAAGAAGATAAATTGATATTTATGAAACTCCTTTGTATCTTAGGAAGCTTTATTATATTCATGACATGTCGGAAATTCAATATAGGCTACAACACTAAGTTGTATGCCTTACTACATATCCCCTATCTCGGGCACATGTAGCGGGAGGCGGGCACATCTACAGGGAGGTGGTTATTTGACAACGTAAAACACGTAGAATCCAAAGAAAATCCATGAAAAGAAGATAAATTGATATTTGTGAAACTCAATTGTATCTTAGGAAGCTTTATTATATTCATGACATGTCGGAAATTCAATATAGGCTACTACAACACTAAGTTGTATGCCTTACTATACATATCCCCTATCTCGGGCACATGTAGCGGGAGGCGGGCACATCTACAGGGAGGTGGTTATTTGACAACGTAAAACACGTAGAATCCAAAGAAAATCCATGAAAAGAAGATAAATTGATATTTATGAAACTCATTTGTATCTTAGGAAGCTTTATTATATTCATGACATGTCGGAAATTCAATATAGGCTACAACACTAAGTTGTATGCCTTACTACATATCCCCTATCTCGGGCACATGTAGCGGGAGGCGGGCACATCTACAGAGAGGTGATGTATTGACAACGTTAAACACGTATACCTCAAAGAAAATCAATGCAAAGATGTTGAATTGATAGTTGTAAACTCATATATAAGGGATCTTTAATGTTACATCCGTTAACTCTCGGATATTGAATATAGAATACTATTTTATTACACAACTCGATCCCTATCTCGATCGGGTACATGTAGAGGTAGGCGGGCACATCTACAGGGAGGTGGTTTAGCCGACGACCGAGTTGGTCACTTGTTTTTTGGAGTTAAAAAACGACCAAAAGAATCGCCATTTTGTATAAACTGTATCAAAAATGTATCAAAATCCACACTAAATAAATTTACTTAACACTCAAACACTTCTACCTCATAATCACGGACAATACAACTGTATAATGGTAAGATTTTGCCGTGATTTGGCTGAACCACTGTGTTGCACGTATTACCTTCATTGTACAGTCATGACCCCAATTCTGCACGTACGTACGTACGATCGTACGCGCGCAGTCAAGAACATCAATATTCATGAATTGACACGACGTCACTGATATGCATATTCATTGACCCCCTTGTAGATGTGCCCGATTAGAGGCTACCCATTATGGCCGGCTTTGGCCGCCATTTTAACTTACGAGTAAACAAACCACTGACCTCTAGAGGTCAGTGGTTTACGCGTAAATTTAGACGGCGCCCATGCAAATATGATGTGAGTGCACAGCGCTGGCAGTGATGCAACAATACATGCGCATCTGAAAACATTGATGTCACTGCCTGCGCTGTGCGCTCACATCATTCATATTTGCATGGACGCTATCTTAATTTATGCGTAAACCACTGACCTCTAGATCTACTTGTAAATTAAAATGGCAACCGTAAACTTGTGTATTGGCATTGCATTGTAAGGTTGAAGGTGCACGTAGAGTTAGCTTACAATTAATTAACGCATGCGCAGATCGTTCATCTGATCTTAGCCTCATTTTCGTAAGTTGGCGCCTAGCCTAGCCGACATGAGCCCTTCAGTTTGGCAATCGCTGTTCTCCATTCACTCAATGCTCAGTATAAGATATTTGTGCGAGGAGCAAGCTTGCGATTTCCCGTTTTTTTCGATACCAAAATTATGATATTTCAGTCAAACTAGTATTAGTCTAGTACCACATGCAGCTTCGGTTTTTTAGTCTTGATGTCATGATCTACCATTTTCAGTCTTTAATAATTTTATTAAGAAGGAGAATGATGAAGAAGAACGTAATAGGCAGAGTCAGTAAACAAAAAAAGCTGAAGTTCTGCAACAATCATCAAGGTTGAAGGAAGCAGATCGACTACACTGAAGAAGAAGATCCAGAACAATTTTACAAAGAAGAATAAGAATTGGTTATTCTATGTAGACACTAGAATAACTGAAGAAGAATACATGAACAACAAGAAGACAGAAGGAAAAGAATTAGAATAGGAAGAAGAAAACCAAAGTTAGCAATTCAAAAGAAAAGGCTGCCAAGAGCCATATCAATAAACACAATTTCTTTTCCTTTTCCCTCTTTTGAAAGTTTGGGCCCCAAAATTTCATATTTTCTTTTACTATTTTGCAAAGAATAAAAACACCCAAGAAGAGAATTAGAAATCATGTTGGAGCCTCTTGGTTGCCTTATGGCTGCCCCAGGATTTGTTATCGTCTTGTTGGATCTCTTCTGAATCCTCAACAAGGTCTAAATGTCTTTTTCTTGAAAAATATTTTCAGTTTATTTTATATAAAGTTTCCCACTTCATCCGTAGTTCATCATTTTGCATTTTGACACTGAGATCATTTAAAAAATAGATAACAAACTGATCTAATCATATTTAATATTACAGCTCCTGAGGAGGAGGTGCAGAGGACCTCTGAATGAAGTCAAATATGTTGACTTGGCTAATCGTGGTCTTGGTAAGCTTGTGCTGAAGCAATATTTCATTTGGGGAAAATGTAGACAAGGTTTATAGATAATTTGTGGCATTGATGTTGTTGTTGTTTTTTGTCATTTTTTTTCTATTCAACCTTCTGTAAATATATTTTGATATAATAATGAACAGCTACCCTAACAACAAGAAGTAAATATATTGAGTAAAAACATGTAGAGATGGACTGACTGTTTCAAAAAGAAGACTTGTCTTTTAAAGACTGACCTGCTGAAAGACGGATTGAAAAAAAGGGTGTGTCTAGATACTTAGAAATAATACTGTCACATTTTTGGACCCTGGTTCTGATGAGATATGACTCAACACTCCTGATAGAGTAAAACAAGTCCTTTGGATTTTATGCAAAATATCTATTATTAAAAGTGACCCTATAATCCATGAATATGTGCCAATCATGCTATTGTCAGCATATCTTTGAAGATTTGTGAAAAACTGTTCTATAACTTCTATTCATTGGACATTTTGTAGCAAGGATGAAGAATCCAAATTTTTTTTATTGACTGAAAATGAATTTTCCATAGAACCAATCTGTCTTGACATACACAATGTCAACTGTACCCGTCAGTCCGCATTTCTATAATTTGTTGCAAAAATGTTTGTAATTCTTATTTAATTTGTACAGGGGGTGTTTCACAAAGATCCTAAGTTGAACTTATCTCTAAGTTGGACTCAACATTTATGGAAAGCCGTTCGCATCTATGAAAATATTTTGTAAAAGTTATTTTTAAAAGGCATAAAATGTTGATTCAAATCATTCATATTTTCTGTTATCAAGTAGATTTCATGTTCTTGATGTGGAATTTATAAAAAGTCTAAAATACTTGAATTTTCGCTTTTTAATATATTCTATTTTAAGGCTACAAATGGCTCTCCATAATTTTTAAGTCCAGCTTTAATAGAGTTGAGTTCGACTTAGGATCTTTGTGAAACACCTCCCGGGTTTGGAAGGTCAGGTTTGCATGATGTGTGTTATTGAGGTATTATTTTAATCTTTATGTGTTTTCCGTCATTATCCTATAGCGAAGATAGAGAATCTCAATGTGCTTCCCAAGCTAGAGACATTGATTCTCAAAGGCAATGATATCAGTCTGGTTCAGAATCTTATGGTATGTCATCACCTATGGCATCTGCATCTTGGAAACAATCAGGTGAATATAGATATTAAAATATACTCTTTATAACGTGTTCAATCATAGCAATAGTCCATGTGAGATTCTTTGAGAAAAGGTGTTGATAGGTTGATGTATATAGTTAACACCCACTTTCTTGTTGGACAGTAGTACCGTAAGCAAATAAGTACTGTTTGTGAAGGTGGTGGGACAAACTGTCACTTCCGAGGCGATCTGAATCGAAATAGCTATCTTTCAGAAGCAGAGCTGAGGAAAGATAGCGTACATACATTCAGATCGCTGAGGAAGTTCGCCTGAAACCAAAAGGTGATTATTTGCTTCATATTCCACATCGGAACAGTTCACCATTTTAGAGCAACAAGTCATTAATTAACAGATAGCAAACGGCGTACGATACGTACAGTGCATGCAGTACTTCCGTACGTACATGTATATACGCAACGTATACAATCTTCAGTGACAGTAAGTGCGTTGCACTGTGTAGATAGAACTACTATCTACACAGTGCAACACACTTTCACTGAAGATAGTACACAGTGTAACAAACTTTTCTTCTCCCATCAATGATGGGCGAACTATCTTTCATCACGTGATTTACTTTTGACCAATCGTAGCGCAATATTCTTAGTAAGTTGATTATAATCCCATATATTACTTGTCATATCCATCATTTGCCTCAAAATTGTATTGTGTTGTTGCAAATTTGCATATCTATCAACTATGTTTATTTATTTATTTATTCATTTATTCAGTTATTCATTTATTCATTCAGTTATTCATCCGTGGCCCCGTCTTATAAAGAGTTGATATCAATCGCAACTACTGTACGTACATAAGAGATAGGAGACTGCTAACTTGCGATTGATTGGAGGACATATAATTGATTTGGATCAATCGTAACTCTAAGACAGGGTCCAGTTTTTCATTCATTCATGCATTCATTCATGTATTCATGTAATTTCAAAATCGTTGTATCTGCTGCAGGTCACCAATCTTGATGGGCTGAGTAAGTTTGTGGCTCTCGGCACTCTCAATCTGAGTCTCAATAACTTATCATGGAGTGACCTGAGACATATCAGACACATGTACATCCTGGAACTTAGTCTCCATGGTAACCCAAAACTGGATAGAGATCCCTACTGTAAGTACAGAAATGTATTTAACTGACTGAGTACAATGAGTGATTTCAAGTTAGGTGTTATAGTGTTAGTGCTTAGAGCAATCAAGAGCTCTTAAATCAAGCTTAAAATTTGCTGATGAAATCAAGAGCCTGATACCGATATTAATATCGATAGCTTAACACTAACACCGAACTGGAAATCAACATTTGCTTAATCTCTAGGGGCAAGCGTTAGTGAATAGGACATTTACATGTAAAATATTAACACCAGCCACAAAGGTGGGTTCAGCAGACGACAATTTTGCAAAATCAATAACACTAGCTACCGGAAATTGACGATATTCTTAGGTCGAAGTCTTAACACCAGCTGATTTCCATTCAATTTAAATTCAAATTCAATAAGGGTTTATTCATATGACGTTCTGGCAGCCGAAGCTGAATTGCAGGTCATTTATGCAAGGTAAAAACATGATATTTAAAATACAGCATTATACACGTTAACATAAAATAAAATGAATGACATATACATGTAAAAGGGTAAATATACTAGTTACATTTATACACATAATAGGCAGCATCATTAAACATCAAAATATAAAAAATACATGAAGCTTACTTTTTTGAATAATAATCGTTTAAGATATGAACTAAATAGGGAATAGAGCTATTATTAATACGATTGGTTTTACAAATAAATTTAGAATATTTCTGTACATTTCGTAAATTAAATTCAACAATTCTTTGACTTGGCTAAGTTAATGGTGAAATAAAAAGAGAGTTTATTCCTACGTTCTTCCAACGTTAACAAATTGCACAATTCTAGAGCATGATTATATGTTTCATACAATTAAGTCCCAAAATAATTCTACATGCCCGTTTTTGTATTCGTTCAATATTATCTGTTTGTTTACGTGTTAGGTTGGAATGAAAAAGTGGTGCATAATACTCTATCATTGGTCTTATTTATCCAGTATAAACAATAACAAGATCACTAATAGGTAAATTCAAACGTTTCCATTTCGGTGTTTAGGGCTGGTGTTACTGTTTATTTAACACAAAAACCCGCCCTTAATGGTAACATCCAACTTGAATCACTCAATGTAGTACTGGAGGAACCTCAATTTTGTATAGACTGCAGCCAGAGTTAGCTCAAGCTTTGTATCACTTAGTTTTTTTGGTTTAACTTTTCATAATACCCTTCTTTAAATGCAGAATTTTTCAGGGTATAATTGTATAATTGGGAATCGTGTTTCATGGTCTATATCACTTTGGTGAATATGACCCAGAGATTAGTCCGAAGCATTGGGGCTAACATGATCCCCTGCCCCTCCCCTAAAGTAGAAAGAGAAAATAAAGGAGAGGAAAGGAAAGGGAACAAAAACAGAAGGTGAAAAATATGGCACTGATTATCATGGTCTGTTTGTGTTTGTACATGACATCGGCGCAGAATATGAAAAAAACAAACTTTTTCACTTTGAACAAAACTTTATTATCAGTGTCATCCCTTGTCTAAGCCTTTTAATTTCGTTATTACTAGAGTACTCAACATACAGAAATACGCTTTGCGGGAAATGTTGTCTACCGAGTACTGGAGGGGTGTTTACTATTTTTTTGAAGGATAAATGACCTTCTGGTTTTCAGTAGATTATATGGTGTAGGTGCCGGTATAGTTGAGTTTTAAATGTGTTAGGAGCCCCAAACATTTGATGGAAAAATAATTTCACTTAAATTGTATCCTAATGTGAAAGACGATGTCATGTAAGACATGTTTCCGCAAAGATTTTGAAAACAAATATGTTTAGAGTCAAATATTGATGAAAGAATACAAAATTTAGGGTTTTTGCGTACAACAGAAAACCCAAACTTTGTATTCTTTGATCAATATTGGTCTTCAAACACATTTTTTTGGGGAAATCTGTGCAGTAGTGTGTCTTAAATGACACCCTCTTTCACATAATTTGGGGCTCCTAACACTTAAGAGGGGCTTTAAATTAAAAGTTTGAAGGCAGTATAAGCACTGTATGTTCAAGGTTATCAATGTGCTGCAAGAAATATATATATATATATATATATATATATATATATATATATATATATATATACACATGTACATGTATATATTGTGTGATTTATCAACAAGTATATTTTATCTTCTAATTTAATTTAATTTAACTTTCTTCATGTTGTCTTTAGATCGTCTCCATGTGATTGATTGTCTACCTAATGTGTGGATGTTGGATGGAAGACTTATAACATGTGAGTAGTAGAACTATATTAACCTAGCTATCCATAACCCTTTGATGAAACCCATTTTCTGAGATGGGTCATATGCTACACAGGCAACTGTGTGAATTGTTTTGGAGTTTGTTTTGTGCAGTCCCACTATGAGGAGATTCTTTTCATGATGGATATGATAATAGTAGCTATTCTCTTTGACTTGGTTTTGAACCCAGGACCATTCCAGGCCCAAACCTCTGCTCTATGAATAAATCACAATCATCCCTAATCATCATGTTTTCCACGGTTTCTCAATATGATGTCTTCTTTCATGTTATACATGTAGCTGCTGAGAGGATTCAAGTTGAGCATTTCTTTCAGGATACCTCTGTCTCAGATCACCCAGTGGTAAGATCATTGTTTATCTATATTCTTTTCTTCTCTGATAATGCTGATTAATATCGACAACTTTAAGTCCTCTTCGAGGGACTTGATAATGAGGATTATATACCTCACTTAAGTAATCCAGCCATCTGATTGGTCGAAATTGCATTCATAAACTTCAACTGTTCCTGTAAAATTCCCGGTAACCATGCTTAAAACATTTAATATTTTTAATAACCATGGTTATTAAAAAAATAGGTCAGTCTCCATGGTTACCCCATAGGTTTACATGTTAAAAAATGGTTTGAGCGATGGAGGATACCGTATGTGTGCGAATAATTGGTCGGTAATTTCAATACAATTGAATCTCGATCGATCTTACCGACAATTTTATCTTGCATTGTTGACATGAAGACGAAAATAAACTTCCAAAAACAAAAAAACAACATCTGCCGATAGATCTTGATCTAAGTTCGTGCCAATATGCATTGCAAAAGTAAAAGAAGAGTCCGTATATGGAGCTTTTGCGAAGCATTCATCACACGCAAAGCCGGTTTCAATCCATTTTAATGTATATATAGTACAAAACTGCCAAGCATGTTAATAACGCGCGATGGCCGAGAGGTCTGAGGCGCTGACTTGAGATACATCACCTTTTGTACGCAAGAGTTCGAATCTCATCTTGGACCAAAAAAAAAAGTATTTTTTATTTTTTATTTTTTAGTCTATTTTTTTTCGGCATATAAAAGTATTAATGACTGCTTTAATATTCGAGAAATAGTTGTTTTTATACGCTCTCGGGAAGGTTACAATTGGGCTATTCCCCTCGGCACGCCTCGGGTAATAGCACAATTCTAACCTTCCCTTGAGCGTATAAAAACAACTATTTCTCTCAAAGCAGTCATTAATACTATATTAATGCCTTACCAAAGGGCACAAATGCTTACACTTAATTGGTATTGAACCCAGGACCTCCTGCTTACAAGACCACTGCTCTACCACTGAGCCATCACGCCTCCTAACTATGTTATCTATAGTATAGTGAATGTATGGGTATTCGCTAATTTTCAGTCGTGGACAATACTCTACTGCTCCTTTCATTACTTAGTACAGTGTAGGTGGGTTTCTTTCATATACATGTAGTTGGTAGACTAGTCTATGCATAGGAATGGGCTTATTGTGCATTGTGTGAGGCACATGCACAATAACTGCAATGTTGTTAAAGAAAATTTAATGAACATTTTGGAGTAACCTGTTTAGCAATTTTTATGCAATTGTGCTCTCATTGATTCATGTTTAGAAGAAATTTTCCTTTCAAAGATAAAAGCTTGCACAGAATATTATAAATTCAAGTTAGCTTTGTAAAGATATTGTTAAATAGTTTGCTCATCCTTAGATTTTCCAATGGACTCAAAATGTCTTGGTAATGGTGCAAAATATCATTCTCTATATATAGTATGATAATGATATGTTAAATTAGTTTGGTTACCACAACTGTCCTAAAATTCCTTCTGGTATGTTTAGGGATTCAAAACTATGCAAATTACAGTAATTTTTGTTGTTGGTTTGTGGTTTTTGTTTGCCAGAGACACAAGCTTCCCAAGGAGCAATTCGTGCCCACCTCTCAAAAGAAGATCCAAGTCCATGGAATCTACGGTCATAAGGTAAACTATACTGATGCTAGATTTTCATCTTTTTGGAGCCAGAAAGACATTAAAGGGGAATTCCACTGTGACAAAAATTCTGTTTTGATACAAGGAAAAAAATGAGAAGAACATATAAGTGAAGGTTTGAGAAAAATCGGACAATAAATAAGAAAGTTATGGATTTTTTAAACCCGTAACTTTTCATGAAGTATTTCAAATCAGTTAATCGAATTGGCATAGCGGTCTCTAAATAATAATAATGATAATAATATTTAGCTTTTATATAGCGCCTAATAGAAATGTCTCTATTAGCGCTTTACAAATATACTATTACCCAGGTCATTGGATTCAGTGCTTGCCCGCACACACACTGTGTGCACAATCTCCACTCCTTGGGGAGCATTCCAGCCAGGCGTTACATTTACATGACGCTCAAAAACTGTTTGACCAACAATGACGGTCGCATCCTACCGGGTACCCATTTAACACCTGGGTGGAGAGTAGCAAGTGCAGGTTAATATCTTGCCAAAGTATATTAGTGCAGTGTCGGGATTCAAACCCTCGACCTTCGCATCTTTCGTCAAGCGCCTTAAACCACTCGACCACAACACTCCCACAAATAAGATGTCACCCCCTCACATTTTATCCTTTGTTGAATGCAAGAAATGTCATTGAATTTGATCATATATCACGGATAACATGTTCTTTCATGCACCCCCATGTAGATTACAAATAGTGTTCCACTGTATAAATTTTTAGAGTGTATTAGCCTGTTTTGATTTTCAAGTATAATTCGTCGCTGTTTTCACGAAGTGACGGTAGTGAAAAAAAATTGCATTCACTTTGCGTGACGATTTTTCTCACTACCGTCACTTTGTGAAAACAGGGACAAATTTTTTTCTTCTTCAGATCAAATGATATTAGAAACAGTACTAGTATTTGGTTGGTTAAACTTTGTCTTCGTTTGTAAAAGTTACCAACTTTTTTATTTTAATGGCAATTATTCCATTTTCTTAAGTGTAGATAATAACCCATTGATTCCTTCACAGACAACGCATTTCATGATGAAGTTTCCAACAAATGGTGACCTCAATGTTGGCACAGATCTTAGACGGCTGGCTTATATGGCTTACAATATACAAGAAGACATCTTAACAGAGTGCCAGCAAACGCAAAGGTAAGTCAGCTACTGATTGAAGTCTTTAGAGCCCGTTTGCACTAGTTTGGCCAGGGGGATTAGACCTCCCTGCAAGGTCACTGAAAGGTGGTTATCTCATCAAATCAGCTCTCAATTAACAACGTGCCTCAACAGGCACCGATTAGGGATTGTTTGCTATATCGAGGGCCCAAGTAGCTAAAAGTAGTGGAGTGGGGCTTTAAGTTTTTACATCAACTATAAATTTGACAGATTGTTACATCATTGGCACAAACTTGTTGATTACCTGGACATTTTTAAATCACAAAGTTATCAAAATTACCCTTCCCATAACATGCCTGTGTGTTCAACTTCACCATAAACCATTTATAGTTTGCGGCATTTGGTACCCCAAAAGGTCAAATTACATCTTATCCAGTTGGTTTATCCATTGCGCTTATAATTCACATTTTGAATTCATCAAGTTCTTCAACATATTAAACTGAGTTTGTATTTGTTGCCACTTCACTTCTGCAGCAGAAATCCAGGTTTGACATGCAAGAATTTTGTGGAGCAGCTCCTGGAGATCCGCTCAGCAGACAGGGAGAAGTGTAACATCCTTCTCATATTGCTTGTAGCTTCTTTAGAGTTTACTATCCCACATTCACTGCTGCAGGATGCCCTGACTGTCACCAACCTTAGAGACATTATGTGAGAATACAAATAATACACAGCTATGAGGGCATTAGTAAGAATTACCCACACAAGGTACCTGTGGAACAGTCTAACACGCCCGAGGCGGTAGCCGAGGGTGTTTGGACTGTTTTGAAGGTACACAGTGTGGGTAATTTTTACTTATGCCGGAACGAAATGATGTATATGATTCGTTTTATAAGATTATGTGTTATATGTATTTTTTTTATAAAATGATGTTTTATAACATGATTTTACTCATGACCAGTTATTAGAATTGGATAATGACCGGTCACTATCCAAATTACGCGTTAGGCAAAAAAAAAATGCTTGGTCACATGTACGCTTTCAACCAATCATTTGATTAGGATCCACGTTATCATCTTATAATATTTGATATATGGCACATGTGTGTAACTTCTTACTAACTTGACCTTTAACCTATAGATCGAGCATAGTAACTTTTTAATTGCATGTTTTTTAAATTGAGTTTAATGGAAAGTTCTGCACAAATAGTACATAATTTGACAAAAAGCATCCTATTTTGAAAGTAGGCACCTCCAAAGTAAGTAGGTCATTGACCTGTTTATATTGTAGGCTTATTTGATAGTATATGGGAAGCAAGAAGAACAATTACATGTATATGTTCACCTCAATCCTCTCTTAGTCAAGGACTCATTCTGTTTATTGATTATACGTCTAGTGAATGAACCTCTCTACAAAACCACTCATCATTATCTCCATAGATTGATTTACATGAATATTGCCTTCACATGTTGCAATGATAATGAGCAGCTTACTAAGATGATGTTTTTCATCAATTTATACCTCCACAGAGATGACTTTGATAGTCTAGATCTGTTACTGATGACACAGAATCATCAATGCCGGGTTCTTTCTCTCTTACTCAGTGCTGTCAAGGTGGACAGAGATGACCATCAGGTAATGTTTACTCATCCTTTATTCCCTCTACCATCTGTCTTCCTTCCTCCCCTCCCTCCCTCACTCTCTCTCTCCCGTCCATCCTTTCCTTTATATTCTTTTCCCCTTCCTTCTTTTTCTGTTTTGTTTCCTTTACATCAACATATATGTTATCTGCCTCTCATGGCTATATTCCCTCCCTCTTTCCCTTTATATTTTCCCCCTTCCATCTTGTCCTCTATGTTCTATCTCCCTTGCATCCTCCCCTATTCATACTATTTTCCTTCTTTCCCTCTTTCTTCCATATGTGTCATCTCTCCTTCCTTCTATTTTCTATTCAACATTTAAACATACACGTATGTGTAAATCTTACCCAGTGCTCTGGAGGATGGTAGAAATGAGCATCAGGTCATCATTTAATCTTTTTAGGTGATACGTAACGAAGTCTACGTATCACCTATTGATTTCGTCAAGATTTTTATTTATTATTATTATTCTTCTTCTTCTTCCTCTTATTCTTCCTCGATTTTGTTCGCAGGATATCTCAAGACTGAATAAAGCCATTGTCATGAAACTTTCAATGATGATAGATCTTTGTCTAACGTAGAACTGCGTGACTTTTCAAAGACTCAAAATTATCGTGACGTCATCCAGGCGCCATTTTGTGAAAATCAACTTATGATCATATCTTCATAACGGAAAGTAATTTTTCATTCATATTTATCATGAATAAGATCAATATCCGTCTGGTCAATTTCAGGTAAAAAAATGCGTGCAAAAATGCGCGTACGCTTTTGTCCGCGCGTATACGCGCGCGAAATTTTTTAAAATGCTCCAAATCATCCCAAATTTTTTTTACATACGTTTCAGGCCATATGGAGCATTTGATAAAAAAATTACGCACACGCGCATGCGCGCGCGTTTTCGCGCGTACTGGCATTTTGCAACATAGAATCGCCAATTTTTTTCTGTCATCATATTTGGTACATTTTTCCAAGCATTTTGATAACTTGTTCACCTTTTAATAACGCAATGAGCGTCCGTCAAAGTTGACAGCACGCGCGGATTTGCGTTATCTTTATCCACAATACATGGGCAAAAACATGCCTATATAAAATTCATTGTAACTCTTTAGAATAGATAGAAACTCCTAATATTTTTTCATATTTGGATAGATTATGAGTTGGAGATATGATTTCATGTCTCATTTGATCCTCAATTAACTCATGACGTCATCATAATGGCCTCCAAACTCAAAATTTTAATTTGCATATCGTCAGCATATTTTTGGAAAATTGATTGTATCTCTGTAAATATGGATCAATTTTCTTTGAAAATTTTGATATGATCTAGCTGAGATAATTTTCTACAAATGCAGTATTCACAATTTTTATTTTTGACAAAAGTATCATGGTGTATTTTTGCGATTAAAGGAGGCATGTCAATTTTTCACATTTTGCGTGTATTCTCTACGGGACATGACTTTTTCTCAAAATTGGATTCTACACTCCTGTCTTTCGCGAGCAAAATCTCCATTGTTTTAGCTTCGTTTTTGCTGAGCTTCGGATATGTTGTAGCTGAGACAATGAGCTATCACAAGTGTGCCCTTTTTTTTTCGATTAGATGCCGGGATCATGCTTATATTTCACTTGCAAAGTAGGATTTCAGAATTCCATTTCCCGTTTACGTGTAATCGCTATGGGAGATGTTTTGGTATATCGGTAACGCACTTGACTTCCAACCTCGAGAACCCTGGTTCGAGTCCGGGTGTCTCCAACAATTTTTTTCTTCACTTTTTTTTCCTTTTGACCTTCACTGTACCATCTCCTTTGATTATTTAAACACGTAGAATCGCAAATAATGTCATAAACAACCCTTTTTACTTTATTATAACCCTATTTTCACTTAATCCATTACTTTTTGCATGTAATCCCTATGGGAGATGACTTTTTCTCAAATCTGGAGTCTACATTCCTGTCTTTTGCGAGCAATATCGCCGTTTTTTCTGCTTGGATTTTGTTGATTTTTGAGTATAGCTGAGACTATATGCTATCTTAATCAACCCTCATTTTTTCAATAAGATGTCATGATCGCGCTCATGATCGTGATCATTATCATAATGATGATAATCATTTATCAATTACATTTTCATTTCTTTGAATACGATAAAATCGTCAAAAGGTGTTCTTCATGATGTAAATTAGAGTCAAATGTGTAACTGGTTACTGCACAGGGTCAAAGGTCATATATTGTTTCAATCTATCTTCTCTAGATCCATGATGATCAAAAAGACACAATTTAATCTTGAAATATGAATAGATCATAATGGGAGAAGCATATAAATGGGAGAAGCATTTTACAAAATAATATATTGTGTAATGCATTATTCGTTATGTAAACCATTATCATACGTATTACCTAATTCGTCTAAGTGACGAATTAAAGTCTAGTTCTAATTATTTTCATATTCTGTCTCATATCTCTCCTTCCCTTTATCTTTTATCTCCCATCTCTTTTTTTTTCTATCTCTTGTTCCTTCCCAACTTCCCTTTATCTCTTACATGTTCTCCCTTCCCCTTTCCCCTTCCCCTTCCCTCTTCCCCTTTTCTCGTTGAAAACTAGTTCATGATAATTTGTTCGTGTCTAAATTGCAATTGGAGATACGGCTTTGGTAACTGTGGTATTTTTGCATATTATAAGTAATTCTCTCCACCAGGTAGAAGTGACTAAAATGATTTATTTATTCGTAAAACTCTTCCTACGTATAAAAGTTATTTCATTTTTAATTCCTCACATTGTATTGACTTTACTGTTTGTCATTGGCAGGATGGAGGACTGTATGAGAAGCTGTATCTGTGTCTGTATTACACTGTAGCTGAAATCATTAAACATCATGATGTTGGAAGCAAGAAGAGCGAGGGGTCTGTTGATAGAACGAACCCCATGTGAGTATGAGACCATCTACTGCTTTAATCTTTTCTTTGTTTTGTTTTCCATTTAGGGATGCATATGGTACGTTACACCCACCCCGTCAACAAAAGAGAAAGAGAGAGAGAGAGAGAGAATTAAGAATTTTTGAAGTTAATACATAAAGTTACAAATAAAAGGAAAAGTCTTATAAATGCATATATGCTTATTGTAGAGTTTTTAAATGATACATGTATGTAGACAAATTTAAATATCCAATCCTGGTTAGAAGTAGATGAATAATAGTGATAGTCCAACATCTTCTGAAAAGATTTGCTGGATCACACAAACATGAAGTCCTGAAAATAAAGGACATGACTCTCCCAGACCTGCCAACCAGTATGATTTAGTTGTATTTAGTACGATTTTTAGACGCAAATACGACAGTACGATTTTCCTTAAAAATTTACGATTTAAAAAAAAAAAAAATTTTTAAAAAATCTTTTTTTTTTTCTTTAAAAAAAAAAATTAAATTAATTTTTTTTAAATTAATATTTTGTGTGTGCGTCCGCCATTTTCAATGGCGAAATGTCCATTCTGTCCTGTAAAGTATCCGCAATTTGGGGATGTTCATTGGTTCATCGAACACACCAGTCATGACGAAATCATGCACATTCAACCAATGATCAATAAAAAAAATTCTTCCTGTAGGTAGAAACTGTAAGAGGCATTGCAATCCGTGTTTATTTTCAAGAATACAACTTTTGGGACTAAAGAATACAGTTTTTGAACTCCAGAGGTTGGCAGGTCTGCTCTCCTTATTAACATTATGAACAGGGTAATCATTGAATGTTGTGCAGACCCCACTTCCAACTAGCTTAAACTAACTAAATGACTATGTTAACAGAATGATCATACTTGAATCTTCATCAGATATCGTGAGTATCGGTCCTTGCTTGCTGCTGAAGTAGTCCAGCTTTTGTGTATCGTGCCTTCATTCTACATCTACCTGACCAAAGATCCGTCCATCTCTCAGCTGGTAACCCAGGCAACGGGGAAGGCATCCACCATGGATGGAGTTGAAGCTCTTATGGAAAGAATACGAAATACAGGGGTAAGTAGTCAATCAGGGAAAACCTGGAATAGTGGCATTTTCAGTCAGGAAATTTGACGAAATCACTGGAATTTTATTGGCCTCATAAGAAAGTGGACAGTTTTTAATAAATATGTTGTGTTAAAGGTGCAAATCCACTGGTGGATTGGCTTATGATGGCTTTTTAGTGTGAGAAATGCCTCCTTTAGTTTGCACTGAAGTTTCATTTCAAACAGACTTAAAATTATTGAGAAGTTCTGCCAATATTTAAACATATGCTTATGAAACATCACAAAGAAGCAGACTATTTGACATGTGGTGTGAAATATGATTAGAATAGGGAGCTGGTTAATACCTCTTCTACCTTGAAGAGGCTTAACATTACTGAAACCGCCATTCATATATGTCAAATTGCTCTTTTTTGTTGATTGATATAAAAAACAATTATGCATTCGCATTCCTGACCTGTCTTTATGTGCCACTACCCCTTACAGGACTACCTAATTTGGTAAGTTCAGGGTAAGACCAAGGTATGTCCCAAGTTCTATAGAATTGTATAATGGAATAAATTGACATACACATATAGCAAACAAATATACCATGCACTGAGAGGCGCTAGTTGAAATTATGGATTGAGGTGGCAGGATTAGCACTATTTCTGTCGCAGAGGAATCCATAATTTCACTAGTGGCTTGAAATAGTGCATGATATATTTGTTTTATATTTTTCAAACCAACTTTCATACAAAAAATAATAATAATGTTTACTGTCACTGAGCAGTGAGGTAGTGTAGAGTGCGACCGATAGCACATCGATCTTGATCGATCACATGTATATGACGTTATCCATGGTATAGTGCACTATACCATGGATGACGTCACGATTACATCATAGCAATGTTATGTTTGGTCACATGTTGCTATGTTGACCATCACTAAACAGGATTTCATTGATCAAAAATATAATATATCATATTTTGTCCCACTCAAGCTCTGTCATGACTATCAGCTTGATACGTACATATACTAATGTGATCCGCAGCATATGGGACATAATAGCGTGGACTTGCCCTATGATCATTCTTCCTTGTCTTATTAATACCCTGTGAATGTTGGATTCTTTCAATTGATTTCATACATGTAATATGATTTCAGGGTCAGGGAGGAAGTCATCGGATCATAGAAGAGGTTTCAGAGTACCTTATGGACAGTATCCAGAGAAATACCAAGAAAGTCATGCACAAGAAGATTTCCTCCAAGAGCACTTCCAAATTTGTATTGGAGGTAACATATAATGCTTTACAACCAGCAGAGCTGCCAACCATTATGATTTTTCCTGGAATTATTCAGTTTTTTAATCAAAATTTCTAGTACGTTTCTTCTTCATAAAGTACTATTTTTTTTTGTGTGTGCACATACCGCACCTCAACCAAATGCCCTAACATGTTCTGAATAAGGGTCAAATGCTGCAGAACCATGTTAAATGTAATGCTTGGCTTACATGCATTTTCAGATATGAGTCCATGTCCAATATGCTTTCATTTCCATCTAGGAATACACATAGTAGTGTATTATAGCCCTCATAGTTTATACATGTAGATATAGATTAGTGTAGAACCTTTAAAAATCATAGATAGACCTGGGAGCGGAAGCAGGGGATCTGAGCAAGTTTCAGAAGAAGAAAAACCTGCTAGAAAATAAATTAGACATGTATTATTAATGTCTCAATAGTATGACAAGTCTTTGAGAACATCATGTAGATAACATGTTATCATCTATCTTGACTTTGCTGCAGACTACTAGAGCCTTACCAAAGAGACCGCAGTCATCTCCTGTCTTTGCAAGTCAGTTCCTGGCTGTAGGCCAACCCAGCCCTGTTGGGAAGCCATATTCTAGGCCTACCAGCAGTCGTCCCTCCCTCAAGCTGACTCATCGCCCTACCACAGCATCCTCTGTTCGCTCCTCAGCCACCAAGATACCATCAGCGACGGCCCTGAAGCCCCGTGCGGCATCCGCTAGGGTGTGTCGTTACCCCAAGCAACAGGAAGAGTGGAGACCGGCTAAGCCTCCTAGGCTAGGGGATAAGGTGCTCTTAGGACCACAGAGCCTGGCCTATATCATTGCCTTGCCTGAGTATGATGTAGCATTGCTTCAGATGGAGGCTATTCCAGGTAAGACTTCATTGATTTATATCATCACATGGAGCTTCTACCAATCTGAGTGGGGGTATCCAACTGTGCATATGACCTTGCTCACATATTACTTGATATTCATAATCTATAGCACACAGTGTGGGTCTGTTTCATAGAACTTGATATCAATAACAAGTTACAGTAACTGTTATAAGCTTCTGAAATCATGCATTTGATTGGCTATGAACTAATTTGATAAAGAGATGTGACAGTTTCTGGACATATTTTATGAGCTGTAGATTAGTCCTTATTGAGGCTCTTCAATGGAGCTGTAACCTGTATTTGCTGTAAGACTGAAGTGCCAAATTAGACTCGGCTCATGCACTGTATGATGGGGTTAAGGGGGTTAGAAGTCCCCTTCCCCATGCCATCCATAGACTCCCAGAAAACTATTGGCCACCAAAGGGTGGTTTCACAAAGATTCTAAGTCGAACTTAACTCTAAGTTGGACTTAAAAATTATGGAGAGCCAAATGTAGCCTTATAATGAAATATATTCAAAAGCAAAAATTTACATATTTTAGACTTTTCAGAAATTCCACATCAAGAACACAAAATCCCCAATGATAATAGAAAATATGAATGATTTGAATCAACATTTCGTGCCTTTTAAAATAACCTTTAAAAAATATTTTCAAAGATGCTATCAGCTTTCCATAATTGTTAAGTTCAACCTAGGATCTTTGTGAAACACCCCCTGTTCTTGTTAAGAGTCCTACTTGATACTGCAAGACAGAAAGTGGTCTTTTCTTTTAATAGTGACGCCATTGTCTTTCTGTCTGTTTACCTCTTTATACTTTTTTTCTAATGGGGTTTGAATATGGAGATCTGTACATGGAACAAAAATATTCTTTGGAACTAGATTCATTAGTTTTAAATTATTTAACCCATTGGAAGTGATTTCAGTTCAGGTTAACACACCTTTTCTTTAAACCCAGCCCAAATTAAAGGGGTATTCAACAGGGTTAGGCTACTCTCAAGTTCTTTTTCTTTCCTTCCCTTTGTGGTTGTGATATTCTTGTGCCTTAATAAGTTTTCTTTGTAATTGATTTTCCCAACTTTTTAGCATGGACATTCCCTAAAGATTTTTTAAAAAAAAGTTTTAGATATTTTGACATATAATTTGGAATTTAAAAAAAAATTAGATTTGTTTGTTATTGTACTTTATTTTACCTTTGTTTTTGTTTTACCCACCCAACCAGCTTATAAGAATTTGATTGCATTAACTTACTGAACACAACTTCCTTTTTCTTCATTCAGATCTATCCAAAACATGGAAAGGTTTGTTTTGTAGTTGAATTGAACATATGAAGTGAACTGAGATCATGTTGTGTATTAATGAAGTCATGTAAACATTAACCAAGCCTTAATTAATCTCTTCTTGTATTGTTATTCATAACTACCGGTACATGTACATATATGTGGTACATGTTTGTGCATTCATTTTTAGCTCTTTACATGGGTCTTTCAAAAATCAATATCAATGACTCAATAGGATTGAAATCATGTTGTTTTCTTTCAATGTTGGTTTTCTTTGTTATGAGGAATAATAAGAGCTCAGCCAACTCACTTTCATAGAGAAAAATATGATTTTCATGAATGAAAATGAGGATCATGACGTCTTCAATAGTAATTTAGTGGCTGTGAAAATGTCTTTTGCCTTTCTAAGTTTTGGTGTGCAAATAAATAGGGTTGTTCAATAAGAACTTTTTTTTCTTCTAATTGGCAAATACATGTTTTAAACATTACACATTTAGAAAACAGAGGAAGGTTTGTTAGAATTATAACTTTATATATCTACATAAACATATATCCAGTATTTATATATCATCAACTATTCTAACTGTCTTGTATACAGGGATTTATAACCTACCGGTCTGTTTAGGAATTAATATGAAGGGTCGATTAATCCATTACCAATTATCCTTTTTGTCTTTAATACTTTGTCATCATGATATTGTCAGTAAATGATGTCTACTGTTCAACTTTATTTATGAATACTAAAAGAACAATGGTACACTTTCACTGAATATCTGCACATTAAATACCAACTTCCATCCAGTAGAACCTGGATCTCATTTCACAAAACTTGTTTTCAATGACAAATGATGGTGTTTGTTATAAGCTAGTGAAATCCTTGCTTCTGATTGGTTATTAGCAGATTTGTCACTGATTTGTGTAATTTGTCATTGAAAAAAGGCTTTGTGAAACAGGTCCCTGGTTGATGCACCTGATGAGAAAACTTTTCCTAATACATGTTCTGATATTATATGAAATCATACAGACATAAATTACCAGCAGCCTACCGTACATGTACATACATGTGTGATATGCCACCAAGAAATGCTCAGTTTTGCTGCATATTATTTTTTGCCCCTAGAATTTCCAAGAGTGGCATTTTCTAGGCGCTACGCTGATTTGACATTATTATGTTCTAATGTATCTTGTCTCAAACTAGATGTAAAAACAATTTATAGAAAAGAATAGTTGTAAGATAAAGAGCAAACAATTTTGGTAGGCCTATTAGTGGTTAAAATTTCTGTGAAAAAATAGAGAAAAGAAAAGAGTATCATGGTAGATTTGATTTCTTAAATTCCACAAATTCAATACCAGAAAATTTAGTCCATTGATACAAAAATACAGTTTCTATATTATTTTCTGATGTCACAAACAGCAATTTTGTCTAGTTTGTGGGGAACTGTGCAAATGAAAAAAAATAACAGTAACAAGTTTATCTGATGTGCAATCAAACACTAACTGAATTTATGTTTGTTTTATAATTCTTTTAACCCCATGAATGTGTAATTATTTGGTGATATGAAATGCTTGTCTCTGTGTATTTGTTTGAAAGTTTTTTGTTTTTTTAATGAGTGCAAAAATTCTCTGTAAGTATTTTTAAAGTTCAAGTAGTTTGCTAGATACTGCAATAAGTCATAAGTTAGGTACAGGTGGATTACATGTGCTGATGTGATTTTAAAGCTGCTACTTCGATGGTAGTCCAGAGTTTCAAGCAAAGTATTATTTTGTGAGTTGGGAAGGATTTTATTTGAAAATGGCATGTAGAAAATGCAGCATGAAAATTTGAAGTCCTAGCTATAACTTTCAATTTCTTATGAAAAGTGTTCCATATCCTGTGTTGTTGTGGGTTTTTTCTAATATTTTCTGCTGCCCAAACATTGAAATTTCCTAATAATTTGTTGTTATTTAACCGGTACTTGTAATTTATAAGAATGTGCAAAAAATCTACACAAATATGTGGGAAAAAGAGAGAGAGAGAGAGAGTGTGTGTGTGTGTGTGAGAGAGAAAAGAATCAGGGTCTTACCATGGAGATAAAAGTAGAGATCTCCATGGTCTTACACATATGAAACATGGACGTAAGCAAGTGAGCAATATGATCTTATATTTGTCATAAGATCATAACAATTATATGTTTTCACCACTGTTGTATTACCTATATTATGTCTATGATTTCCATGATTTTTTTTTAAAGGATAAGTTAATAAAGTTAATATACACAAGCGGCCCCACATATTTCATCATAATACAACGTTGCATTTGTTACAGCACCTAATGGGTCGGTCGTAAGCTTCAGTAGAAACACGGACGAGCACTATGCTTATATGAATATGGTTCATATGGAGTGGGACTCTCGATACAAGTACTGGAAACCTAGAGGTACAGTTGGTGACAGGTGAGTGGCATGCACATTGTCTCCTATCTTATACTTAAATCTTATACCACAAACTTTTGCAACATGAAATGATGGTAATTGTGTCATTGAAACAACGGTGTCTAGTTTGACTATTGGATATCAGTTATAAGACTAATATTAATAATAATGATTATAAGTCCATAAAATCACATACCTTTGCAACACACTAGTAGAATAATAGTTATAATGGATGTCAATAAGAAGAATAATATTAATAATAATAATAACGATAATTGTAATAATAATAATAATAATAATAATAATAATAATAGCCTAATAGTCCACTCCAAATTTTAATAAACCGAAAGGGAAATTATTTTTGCCCAATTGATCGTGAGCCCGGCAGCCACTGAGCAGCGCCAGATCGACGTTGCTCTATCCCTTATTGTTGAACGCCAAACAAGGTAGCAACAACTCCCATCTGTTAACGTCTTTTGGTATGACGCGGCCGGGGTTCGAACCCACGACCTCCCGGTTGTGAGGCGGACGCTCTACTGACTGAGCCAACACTCCGGTTATAATGATGATAATGATGATAACAATGATAAATAATGATAATGATAATAATAGTGATCAATGCTTCTAAAAACCCATCTCTTTCTAAACAGTGCTATTTAATCATGTCGATGTAGCGTAATAATTTGTGTTGTTTTAGTTCACTTTATTTTAGTTAATTAAAGAAAGTTATATGTTTGTGATAGTAATATGTACAGCACCATTAGCGTCAAAGCCTGGTGGATACCAACGCTATATAAATATCCATATTATTATTATTAATATAGAGAAATGAATGATTGTGTCTATGGTATTTTCACTTATTGTGTAGGATTACCCTTCAGAGTGTTGAGAGCATGTCTGAGATCAAACCGCCACCATCAAGTCCTACCTCTAGCATCAGTCCTAGATCATTAGATGGCACTGGCACAGAGTGTACTCCTCACCCTTCACCCAGAGAATTAGTAAGTATCAACAGACGATGTACTTTATTTGCTCTCCTCTGATTTTAAGTTGGGTTTAATAAAATTTTAAAAAATGAGAGAAACAGATTGGTGAAAGTTTGAGCTTTATCCGGTCAAAAATAGGAAAGTTCTGAATTTCTGAAGTTGTCATCAGTGGAACACAAATTGCCAACAAAAATTCCTAAAATTTCATTTTTCTCAGTTATATTTGATAACGGATAAGATTAAAAAAAAAAAACATTTGCAATAATAATATTTAGGGTAAATGTATGATTGACAATTTTCAAATATACGGTTTTTAATTTTTGTTTATTACAGGGCAAATTGGAGGGGAGCTCGCAAGATACGTCACAGAGAGTTGTCAATTTGTGTTTGATTGCACTATCAAAAATTCAGAAAGTTTATATTTTTAGTCAGATTTTACTCCAGCTTGCACTGACAACTTTTTTTGCTTCTATTCAAACCAATTTAATATCAGGGTGGACTTCCCCCTTTAGTGCACAGAACACTCTCACACTTATATGTCAAGACTCGTACATAAACACACTCCACTACATACACTTTGATCACTCTGTAAACATAATTACATATGGAAAATCTATCCTTCATGGCATCATCCCCATGTGGAATTCTTTACCTTTAAAAATTAAGAATATATCTTCTTGTTGTACTTTTAAAAGTCTGCAGACCTAGCATTTCTTGCAGTAGAGTTCTATTTGTTTACATGTTTATGTTAACCAATTTTATATTGTAAATCTAATAGAGAATTGAATTGTAATTATTATTACATCTATATATAATAATGAAAAGATGTTTTTGCTCCGAATGTAGTGGATATGTCAATGCTTCAAATTCTAGCTGAGCCCTATACTTTTTATACTTTGTTTCAATAGCAAGGAACAAAATGGAAACCATGAAAGGATCTTGAACACCTTTGATTGCATTTGCCTTTGCAAAATTGAGCGCACATATGAATTTAGTGAATGGGATTAGTACTAGAATTGAAGATACATGTATAAAATGATAATGAAACCAAGATCTACATGTTTGTATGTAAATCATAGCGCTCTAGTCGGATGAGTGGATTATGTGTTTTCTTTGTCTTCATAGAATGAGAGTCTGCCCATACCAATCTCTCTGAGATTCAGGGAGAAACTCCAGCTGAGCCCGGAGAAAATCATCCCCATAGTAGAAGAGAGAGAGGCTGAAGAACCTCACGAGAGAGCATCAAGTGTTCAAGAAGAAACCAGTCAAGAAATAGAGGATGATATAATCAACAGAAGAGAAATAGAAGCTGTGGAGCAACATGCTGGTGATCATGAGGTTGGGAGAAGAAAGGAAGATGCTTTGATGGAACAACATGAATCACACTCTGACAAGAAACAGGTTGAACAAGGTACCGTGTGTTACAAGTAATTTTGTTAAAGCCCCTCTAAAGTGTTTGGAGCCCTGAATTCGCCAAAAATTTGATGGCAAAATTACTCTTAAATTGTATCATAATGTGAAAGAAGATGTCATTTAAGACACACTTCTGCAAACTCCCCCCCCCCCCCCCCCCCAAAAAAAAAAAAAAAAAAAAAAATGTGTTTGAAAACAAATATTGATAAATGAGTACTTAATTAAGTTTTGTGTTGTGTGCAGAAGACCTAAATTTTGCATTTTTTCATCAATATCAATATTCGACTTCAAACAGATTTTTCTTGAAAATCCTTGCAGAAATGTGTCTTAAATGAAATCCTCTTTCACATTATGATACAATTAAAATGAAATGTTACCATTAAATTTACTTTGCTCCCAACACTTTAGAGGGGCTTTAACAGATCCTCTGAGTTCAGTATTGGTTGTTTTGAATATGTGCACTGTTAAAAGCTCTTGTGAAGATGAATTATGGGGGTTTGTAAAGTGTACCAATCGCCTGAATAAATTATATGTGTACAGCTAGATTGAATATTTATGTGGCATTGTATTGGTTAATGTTTAAGGACTGTGAATAAAATGAAGGATTACAAAAAAAAAAACTTACAGAACCCAAGCCTGACTTTGTTTCTATGTATGCCCTATTCTTTTAGAGGGTGTATGTGTATGTCAACTAGTCTTCTCAGCAGGTTGTTTTACTGTTTATTGAGAGCATATTTAAACTGGAATATCTCTTTGTATAATTAATATTTAAAACTCATTTTGAATTGAGTATAGCTACAAGGAACGCCTTACCTCAAGAACAAAACATAGTTTTGTGACTGGAACTTGAAATACAATTAATGTCTGGGTAGTCACTTCTTCAGTCTTTTATCAAGTAAGTTCTTTCATCCAATTTTTATTTATCCAGAGGAAAAAATCAGATAAAAAAGAAAAGGGGAGTTCTTTATGAGGTTTGCTTGACTTCTTTTCTTGAGATGATAAAAGCATTGACAGAAATTTTCTTTCAACTTATTAAACATACAAATATTTAGACAGCCTAGTATGGTTAGATTTTGCTTAGGGTAACTAAAATAAATCCAACAATGAACTATACAAAAAATGCAAATTCTGTACATTTGTGACATCTCTTGAGAGGCCAATGGTGAGAGCAACCAGTGGCATGAATGTCCTGCCATACTTTAGGTCCAACTTAAGTCCATCTTAGTCTTTGTGAAACACCCCCATGTGTCTCTAAAGATAGAATGGATACATGCTTTGTCCTTACCTCTTTGATTTCTGTGTCACACTAGAAACAACATTGACCGAGATACTGAGTGCTAGGATGACAGAAGACAAGAAGATAAGTCACCATGACGACCAGCATCCTCATCACAGCCTGGATGACTCTCTCTATAACTGCTTACGCTGTGCCATGGAAACCATACAGATAAACACTGATGTGTCTGCTCCTTCAACTGCACGGGACGAAAGGTTTGATTATTACCATTCTATTTTGCTCTTTCGAAAATACAAGTATGTTAACTTGCCATTTTCCTAAATGCAAATATATTAATAGTGACAATACGTTATCGCATTTCTAAAATTGTGTGTCACATCAAGTTCATATACAATGATAACAGCAGGGAAGTTGGAGATACAAGAGGTGGTACATGTTCATGATAACATAGATAGATATTCAGCAGTACAGCAATTCTTGCAATTTCTGTAAAGCATGAATGGTACAATCTACCCCACCCTCCCATTCTCCTTGAGTTGAGGTTGTGTTTATCTATCTCACGAAGCTGTCAGGGTGAGTATGATAGATGCATTTACAGCCTCAATGAATGAATGAAAAGATACACCACTTTTTTATACAGCAAAATTCCCAGATCCTTGTTCCTTGATAAAACATAAAACATGTTCAGGAGGCTTTCAATTACAAGAGTACAATTAAGTGCCATTACTCCTGCACATGTTTTTGTGTGCAGTACGTGCTACCCCAGTACATGTATAGGTCCACGCACAGTATAAGCGTTTTAGCTCCTTGTGCACTTCTGCACACACACTTAGAATCTTTGGATAGAACTGGAAACTATTGCATGGTTTTTAATGACAAAAACGTGGTAAAGTCTTAGTAAATGAATCACAGTGACTGCATTAGACCATACATTGGAATAGGATCTTGGAGTGAGTTATATAATGATTCTTATCATGCTCCAGCCCACCATTATGTAGACCTGCCAACCAGTACGAATTAGTCGTATTTAGTACGATTTTTAGAAGCAAATACGATTTTCCTCAATAAAACATGATTTTCATTTTTTTTCTTTTTAATATTTTTGTTGTTGTTGGTATTTTGTGTGTGTGTGTGCCATTTTCAATGGCAAAATGCCCATTCTGTCATATAAAGCATCTCACATCGGCAATTTGGAGATGTTCATTGGTTCATAGAACACACCAGTCGTGACGAAATCATGCATATTCAACCAATGATCCATACAAAAATTTCTTCCTGTATGTAGGAACTGTAAGAGGCATTGATCTGCGTAACAGTCCGTGTTTATTTTTAAGAATACAACTTTTGTCAGTAAAATACAACTTTTGGGATTAAAGAATACAGTTTTCAACTCCAGAGGTTGGCAGGTCTGCAAAGTGTTTGTGGATACGTTATTTTTGTTTTGAAATCTAGCAATATGTTGATTTGCTTCTCAATTTAAACGCAGAAGTCAAACAGAAAGAGAGAGAAATGGATCTATGGTTAGCCAAGTAGCAGAAGCTAATACAGCATCTACAGAAGATCTGGATATATCAGATGCTCTCCATAGGTAACTATCAATACTACCATGTTTCCATGTCCATGTGATGGTCTACTCAGTTTACACTGATATTTAAAGCATTAATTATTATTGATGTTGTGAATATAATTTTTAATACATATGTATTGTTATGTATTTGGTATAATGTTGTTAGAAACCACAAATATATTTTGTGCTTCTTTTGTGTTACTTAATTTAATGAGTTAAGAGTTCCATACTTTTCTACAAAATTTTGAAGGGGTGCAGTTATCAAATGATTATCTGTGATGTAATGTAAATCAAAAGTTTTGGGTTCCTGATTTCTATGTCTAAATTATCATCATCATCATATTTTATCATTATTTTGTTGTAATTAAACCCATTCCAAAAGAGCTCCAAGCAGACCAAACACAGCCAAGAGTGCGCCTGATTCATACAGATCACAGTAAGTGTTTGCAGAGATTTCGCACTCTCCTACTGGTCTTGATGTGTGTGTGTGAGTGGGTGCATGTGGACGTATGCCTGCGTGTTTGTTGGTGGGACGAGTGGGTGTTTGGTGGGATGTGTGGGTGTGTGTTTGGTGGGGTGAGTTGGTGTGTGTTTGGTAGGGTGATTTGGTGTGTGTTTGGTGGGGTGAGTGAGTGTTTTGTGGGATGATTGGGTGTTTGGTTGGTTCAGTGTGTGTTTGGTGAGATGAGTGGGTATTTGGTGGGGTGAGTGGGTGTGCATTTGGCGGTGTGAGTGGGTGTGTGTTTGGTGGGGTGAGTGGGTGTTTGGTGGTGGTGAGTGGGTGTGTGTGTGTGTTTGGTAGGATGAGTGGGTGTATGTTTGGTGGGGTGAATGGTGTGTGTTTGGTAGGGTGCGTGGATGTATATTTGATGGGGGTGAGTGGATGTTTGGGTGGGTGAGTGGGTGTCTGTTTGGTGGGATGAGTGGGTGTTTGGTAGGATGAGTGGGTGTTTGGTAGGATGAGTGGGTGTTTGGTAGGATGTGTGGGTGTGTGTTTGGTGGGGTGAGTGGGTGTTTGGTGGGGTGAGTTGGTGTTTGGTAGGGTGAGTGGGTGTTTGGTGGGGTGATTTGGTGTGTGTTTGGTGGGGTGAGTGAGTGTTTTGTGGGATGATTGGGTGTTTGGTGGGTTCAGTGTGTGTTTGGTGAGATGAGTGGGTGTTTGGTGGGGTGAGTGGGTGTGCATTTGGCGGTGTGAGTGGGTGTGTAAAGTGAAAACAATTCGAGTATCTGGATAATGGTCCGATCTGTTCACCCAGCCAAAACTATTTTGTTTTAAAGCCAGGTGGTGGTGTGATGTTTTGAGAGGGAGGAACGTGTTGGGATCCGGTATGCATGCTTGCCTATCATTATGTCGGGCTGACGTTTGGTGTTCTTTCGAGTTGTCGGGAACGCCCTTTAGGAGTTTTTTTTTACGGAGTGCATACAAAACGATCAGGTGTGTGAGCCTATTCATTCATGGGTGAGGCTTATTATGCAAATTATAGAACTTGGTAAATGATAGCATGATGGGTTCGGTTTGCACGAACAGTTTATTAGGTTGCCGAACTGGTGTCGTTTGGGGGAATTTGGTTTATTGGGATCGTGTTTTTATTTTTAATTAGAAGGTGCGTATTGTAATTAGGTACGCGGGCCGGTCAATTCACTGTAATGCATTTTAGGAAAATCATTTAACTTAGTTATGACGAGCGGGTTCCGTAATACAATTCAAGGCATTTGTTAAGGGATAAAAGCTCTTTGTATTTTTTTTTGTTTTGTTTAATTAGATTACGGTTATATAACAATACAACGTATTTCTCATCGACTTGTGCAAGAAGAAATGTTCATTGGTTTATTCTGTCATTGGTCTAGTTAAATTGACAGGGAAAGGGGGAGGCTCTTGCTCTCGGATGTTTACGTACACCGAAGAGCAGATTTTGGTTGTTTTGTGTGGGGGTGTTGTGTGTGTAGTGAATATGCTTGTGTGTATGAATGCGTTGGGTTGTGTGGTACGGGGTGGATTCTGCTTGCATTTTTTATATTATTCGACGATAAGTATGCATATATGTTTGGCTGCAGATAGTTTTTTCTATACATTTGCTCACGGTGGAAATAGATTGTGTGGAAGTTTCTTTGGAGTTTATCGATGTAAGGTTTTGGATACAATTACACATAAAATAACATGGCAGTGAAATTATCTTTCATGACATTAAATGTTAGAGGAATAAGAGATAGGTTAAAAAGAGTGAATATTTTTGAATGGTGCAAAACTAAAAAGAATAGTATAATTTTCTTACAAGAAACATATAGTACAGTAGAGATAGAAGAGCGGTGGAAACAAGATTGGGGAGGGCCAATGTTTTTTAGTCATGGGTCAAACCATAGTAGAGGGGTTCTTATTTTATTTTCTAATCATTTAGATTTTGAAGAAAAAAAATTTAAAGTAGATGAAGAGGGGAGATACATTATTTTTAAAGGTGAAATACAAAGGGTTAAAATGCTATTGGTTAATGTTTATTTTCCAACGAGAGATAAAGAAACTTTACAAATTGAATTTTTGAAGAAGTTAGATGAAAGTATTTTTGATCAGTGTGATCGGGACTATTTAGTTTTATTAGGAGGTGATTTCAATAGTATATTGGATGGAAAATTAGATTATGTGGGGTCAAAAACACCGGTGAAATCTCGGGTTATTGATTTGATTAAGGAATTTTTAAATAAATACGATTTAGAAGATATATGGAGGAAAAAAAATCCGAATGTAAAGCAATTTACTTTTCGACAAAATTGGCCGGTGGTGCAAAGCCGTTTAGATTATTGGTTTATACCTTGTAGTGTTGAAAAATTGGTGGGTACGTGTGAGATTTTGACATCTATTACGCCAGATCATTCTGGCGTTAGGCTAGAATTTAATGATCTTGTTGATAAGTTTGTTTTTGGGAAATCATATTGGAAATTTAACAGTAGTTTATGTATGGATAAAGATTTTGTTGAAGAGATGAATAAGAAAATACAGGAATTAAAAGCTGAATGGTCATTACAGATCTTGAATAAATTAGTATTTTGGGATTTTTTAAAGATGAAAATGAGAGAATTTATTATAACATACTCGCGGAAAAAGGCAAAAGCAAGGAGGGTTGAAATAGAACTGTTAGAGAAACAAATCAAGGATTTAGAAGGCGAACTGGTAGTGGGACCCACTAAATATATTGTTGATTGTATTGAGGAGAAAAGGGATAAACTAAATAAATTGTATGATTTTTCTCGACAGGGCATTAAAATAAGATCAAGAGCACCTTGGTTTGAAGATGGAGAAAACAATACGCAATATTTTGAACAGTTGTTAAAATCGAATAAAAGGAAAAGTGTAATTAGGGAGGTGTACAAAGAAAATGGGGAAACTACTAGAGATAAGGAGGAAATTTTAAAGGAAATTAAACTATTTTATAAAGATTTATATTCTTTAAGGGCTGATATAAATCAAAACGACCCTTTCTTTTTCAATGATATTTCAAAGTTAAATGAAGACAATAAGGAAATCTGTGAAGGTAAATTAACTAAAGATGAATGCTTGAAAGTTTTAAAAGAAATGAAATTGAATAAAACCCCGGGAAATGATGGGTTAACAGTTGAATTTTATTATACTTTTTGGCCAGCTTTGGGTGATTTGTTAGTAGAAGTATTGAATGAAACATACGAAAGGGGGGAATTAACGGCATCTCAAAAACAAGGGGTAATTACCTTAATTGAGAAGGAAGCGAAAGATACTCTCCATATAAAAAATTATCGACCCATCACGCTTTTGAATGTAGATTATAAAATTGTATCTAAAGTTCTAGCAAAAAGAATGAAAGAGGTTTTAAATGAAATAATTCATCATGATCAAGTTGGATATATAAAAGATAGAAATATTGGGGAAGCTGTACGATTGATAGATGACATGTTATTTTATTCTATGCATTATGGGGAACAAGGGAAAGGGTTTTTGTGTGCAGTGGATTTTGAGAAAGCTTTCGACTCTGTATCTCATAGATATTTATTTCAAATATTGAAATTGTTCGGTTTTGGAGATTCATTTTGCTCTTGGGTAAAATTATTGTATAAAGGGATAAGTAGTTGTGTTATGAACGGTGGTCACTCCACGGGGTATTTTGAAATAGAAAGGGGAGTAAGGCAAGGGGATCCATTATCGCCATATTTGTTTTTGGTTGCCATCGAAATTTTGGCGCATGCAGTAAGGAGGGACAACGGTATTAAAGGGATTACATTTGGAAAATCTGAAATTAGGCAAGTGTTATATGCAGATGATATGACAATATTTTTGAAGGATATTGATTCGGTTAGAAGGTTGCAATATATTTTTGAATCATTTGAAAAAATTAGTGGTCTTAAAGTGAATAAAACAAAGACACATTTTATGTGGATGGGTGAGGATGAGAACAAACCTGATGGGCCTTTATTTGGAAATTTGGTTAAGGAAATACATATTTTAGGGGTTAGTTATTCATTAGATCGAAGTTTAAAAGATGATTTGAATTATAAAGAAATTCTAAGTAAAATAAAAAAATTGCTTGTATGGTGGAAACAAAGAGATTTAACTATTATGGGTAAAATACATTTGCTAAAAACTTATGCGCTTTCAAAATTAAATTATATTTCATCTCTCGTTATTGTCCCTCATTGGGTATATAAAGAAGTTGCAAAAATTTCATTTGAATTCATATGGAGGGGGAAAGATAGAATTAAACGGGCAATAATGTATCAGGATTATGACTTTGGAGGATTAAGAATGATTAATTTTGAAATGTCCGTTAAAATACAGCGCATAATGTGGATAAAACGTCTTTTATATGGAGAGAAAAGTTTGGGATGGAAATTGTTTTTTGATCATTGCTTACAGTTTGTGGGTGGTAGATTTATTTTTTTATGTGATTATGATTTAAACAAGATTAAACTCGTTTTAGATATTCCACCATACTATATGGAAATGTTGCAAGCATGGCAAGAGACAAGTAATTTAAGATATTTGGAGGGTTATATTAATCCAATTATTTTTAATAATCAGAATATATGTATAAATGGAAAAAGTATATTTGATAGATACTTGTTTGAAAGAGGGATTGTTCAACTGAATCATTTGGTTGAGAAAGGTCATGTTAAGCCTGTTAAATATTTTATGAACCTCGGTATGAAAGGTAATAATTTGCTTATGATTATTGATATTTATGATGCGATACCCAGGTTATGGAAGGATGATTCAGGGTTAATAGAATTCCTCGAGGTTGATTTGATAAGCTTTAATACTTATTTCCATATTTCTAGTAAAAAAATACAGTTTGTGGATGTGGGTTCAAGAACAATCTATGATTATTTCATCAAAGCACTGCAGCGAACGTATGATTTGCAGGTAAGGGATGGGCAAAATGACTATGATTTTAACGATAAAGAATTAAAAGAAATATTTGTGAGACCAAGAATTACTATACTCATTAGAAAACAACGTGAATTTCAATTTAAATTATTGCATGGAGCCATATACACTAATGAGCATCTTCATAGATTTGGTTTTGTTGGTGATAATTTATGTTCGTTTTGTAAGCAGGAAATAGAAACATACAAACATTTATTTTTATCTTGTGGGAGCGTTCAAAGGTTATGGCAGGCTTTAATACAACTTTTTGAGTTAGATGAAATTAAAGATTTAGAATGGCGAGATATATTTGTTGGGTTGGTAGGTAGTTCATATAGAATAAAAATGTGTAATACTATCATTTTCATGGTGAAGTATGTTACATTTATGTCAAGATCGGGGGGGCGAGTACTAACTTTAGAAAAGATGAAAAAAAGCATTTTTAAGTATAGGGATGAGGAAAAGAAAATAGCAATTAAAATGGGAAAGCTAGGATCACATTTTTTAAAGTGGGAGCAGCTTAAGATTAATTAAGATTTGCTTTCTTCTCCACCGTGAGCTTGTTAAAAGCGTAACTCGATTTTGCGGCCTGGATAACTTATTTAGTATATTTTTCTTAAGTTGAGAATGTTGGCAGACATCCACTGAGTGAGTACTGTGTGTGTGTGTGGGGGGGGGGGGGGGGGGTGGGTGGGTGGGTGGGTGAGTATGTGTGTGAGTGGGTGAGTATGTTTGTGTGATAGAGGGTGAGTATGTCTGTGTGATGTAGGGGGCAGGGAGGGGGCAGGATTGTTTCAGTAAAATTATCTCCAGATTTGTTTTTTTTTGTAATATATAAGTAAATAACATTTACAATTGACATATTATGTTTAGGTACTTATACGTTTACTTTGTTGTTAAGTTATATTATACTGCAAATAAGTTTGTGTTTAATTATGTTTATGTAAAAGCATCAATATTGAACACGTTTATTTTATTCAATTGTATGTCATGGTTTGTGTTACACATCTGGAGAAATAAAACAAAATTGTTAAAAAAAAAAAAAAAAAAGTGTGTTTGGTGGGGTGAGTGGGTGTTTGGTGGGGGTGAGTGGGTGTGTGTGTGTGTTTGGTAGGATGAGTGGGTGTATGTTTGGTGGGGTGAATAGTGTGTGTTTGGTAGGGTGCGTGGATGTATGTTTAATGGGGATGAGTGGGTGTTTGGTAGGATGAGTGGGTGTTTGGTAGGATGTGTGGGTGTGTATTTGGTGGGATGAGTGGGTGTTTGGTGGGGTGAGTGGGTGTTTGGTAGGGTGAGTGGGTGTTTGGTGGGGTGAATGGGTGTGTGTTTGGTGGGTGAGTGGGTGTTTTGTGGGATGAGTGGGTGTTTGGTGGGATGTGTGTTTGGTAGGTGAGTGGGTGTGTGTTTGGTGGGGTGAATGGGTGTGTTTAGTGGTAGGGTGTGTGGGTGGATGTTTGGGTGAGTGAGAGGGTGTCTGTTTGGTGGGGTTAGTGGGTGTGGGGTGAGTGGATGTTTGGTTGGATGAGTGGGTGTGTGTTTTGTGGGGTGAGCAGGTGTGTGTTAAAATTTTTTTTTAAAATTGTTAAAATAAAAAAAGTGTGTATGGTGGGGGTGAGTAGTAGTTTGGTGGGTGATTTTACCCTTACCCTTACCCAACTGTAACCCTAACCCTAAACCTGCAAAAACTGGTCCTTTTTTAAGCTGGGCCGAGTTATCTTGGTGGGGGTGAGTGGGTGTGTGTGTGTGTGTGTTTGGTGGGGTTAGTGGATATATGTTTGATAAGGGTGAGTGGATGTTTGGGTGGGTGAGTGGATGTTTGGTGGGGGTGAGTGGGTGTGCATTTGGTGGGTTGAGTGAGTGTGTGTTTGGTGGGGTGAGTGGGTGTATGTGTGTGTGTTTGGCGGGGTGAGTGGATGTTTGGGTGGGTGAGTGGGTGTCTGTTTGGTGGGTGTGTGTTTGGTGGGGTGAGTGGATGTTTGGGTGGGTGAGTGGGTGTCTGTTTGGTGGGTGTGTGTTTGGTGGGGTGAGTGGATGTTTGGGTGGGTGAGTGGGTGTCTGTTTGGTGGGTGTGTGTTTGGTGGGGTGAGTGGGTGTTTGTTGGGGTGAGTGGGTGTTTGGTGGTAGGGTGCGTGGGTGTTTGTTTGATGGGGTGAGTAGATGTTTGCGTGGGTGAGTGGGTGTCTGTTTGGTGGGGTGAGTGGGTGTTTGTTGGGGTGAGTGGGTGTTTGGTGGGATGAGTGGGTGTGTGTTTGGTGGGTGAGTGGGTGTGTGTTTGGTGGGATGAGTGGGTGTGTGTTTGGTGGGGTGAGTGGGTGTGTGTTTTGTGGGGTGAGTGGGTTCGTGTATGGTGGGTGAGTCTAAACCTAACCCTAAACCTGCAAAAACTGGTCGTTTTTGCGTCTGGGCCGAGTTGTCTTTGGTCTGAGTGGCTGTTTGCTACTGCGTTGCATGATGTCTGTGTAACAAGTCTATGGACGTAAAGTAGCATACTTTAATATATGACAGACAAAAGCTATGGGTGAAATAACATGTTTTGATATCCATGTGGAAATGCATTTTTGTTTAAAAATTTCCTGGTAATGAAAATGGTACACATATAATTTTCTAGTGAGCATTCTTTATTAAGACAGGACAAGTACTCTCACTTACAATTTCACAGTTGCTGTTTATCCTTTGTAAGATGTACATTTTTGATGACTTTACAGTAATACGGTACATTTTTTTTTCTTCATGATATAGCTGGAGATACAACAGTAGTGGCAAACTGTTAATAAATAATTGCTTTATATGAAGACTTACACACATTGTACATGTCATAAAAGTAGTACGTAGATGATAGATAAGATGTAATTAGTGGAATATTGAATTCATTTCAATCCTATGTAGAGCTGAAGTGAATGTATTGGATCTCAAGGTATGGCCTGATCCAGGCGATTATACAGAATACCAGAGGGAAAGGACGAAGGTTTGGGGAAACTCCCTTAAGAGACCAAATTCTTCTTCAGTTCGCACTAAAGGTACGTGTGTCCAGATAACTTCATGGTACCTGCTGTATTTGTCTGTGTCACTAAGTTCATGATTAATTATAATTTATGAATTTTGTTAAATTGGTCATAACATATTGCCAATATAAAGAAATGTAACATTGTTAGACTTTGGCTGTCACTTTTCAGGAAATGAATATTTATAGTCTGAACTCATGATACATGTCTGTAATTCATTCAATATCAGATTCATAGGTTGTATTTTGAAAGCTCTTTTAACATTACCTTTAAGTCCTCAAGTTAATTGAGCGCTAATGGATCCTCAGATCAATATCCTGAAAGATCACTTGAATCCGGCATCATTAAAATATGCCCCTCCTCTTTCTCGCCCATTTCCACCAATCAGGTGCGCTGTAACAAAGAAAATGATGTACACGTTCCAACTTCAACATATGAAATGTTGGAAAGAATAAGCGGCCCTGGCTGCCTTCAGAAATTGTTGCTATAATTTGACTTTCTTGATTTGGAATATCGTTCAAAAAGATCGCCCCGTCATATGGAAATGAATAAGACAATTCTCATTTAATTTAACATACTGGCCAATCGTCATCCTCATGCTGTGGGGTTGGATGTTTCATTTCCCTTTATATGGCCCTTCTCCAAGCCCTATAGTCTTCAGCATCAGCTTTAATTAGGCCAGATGCTCTCATGTCTTTTCCTAGTGTCTCCAGCCAGGATTTGAGTTTTAACATAGGGTTTTGAGCCTGCTACCTGGAAGTTCTTTGCTCTCAGAAGCCACTGGCTTTTCCCCTCCTAACCACATGACTATACCATCTCAGTCTACCAATCCTTATTTCAGATAAACATTTGTAAATGATTTCTTCTCTATTCTGTACAGTTTGTCTCAAAAAATATTACTTTGGGGAAACTTTTTTCCAACTGTAAACTTGTTCTCTGAGATGCACAGCCCATTTAACATACACCCATTGTTATGGTTAAAGAGTACGACAGTACAAAATTGATAGATCTTTATATTTATGATATATTCTTTAATATGCTGTTGTGTTTTACCTCCCACTTTGTTTAGAGCGCTCCACACCACGTGCCTCCTCTGCTAAGAGTAGATCCGGCACACCAACCCAACCAGTTCTCATTCAAATGGGTAACCACTGGATGGCAGGGGGGCGTGACATCGCCACATGGGAGCGCATTTCCAATCGGATGAAGACGTTCCATGCTCCAGGGTGGATGGAGGGTTCTCCAGCATCTAGGAGACCCAAATCAGTTGGACCATACAAATACAAGTAAGTCATCAACATATCTCTATTGAAGGCTTGCTCAAACATACCACCGTAAATCGCCACAATTTTTATTACCTTTTTTTCTTGAGAGAGTTAAAAGCAAGCATGTTTAGTCCAACAGGGGTTGTGACGTGTGCCTGTAGTTCAGCTTACAATGGAAGTTACAAACTGATTCAGCCGAGGACACGGGTTCGAAACGGAGTCACGTCTTTAGGATGGTGATGTTAAATGTCGGTCACCAGGCGTAAATAAACATATCTGATTGATACACGTCTGTAAACACCCAAATACACACACACACACACGCACGCACACACACAACTAACTGGTAGAGTGCCTAGTGTGAACCCTCTCATTCCATAAAAGTTACCATAATTTCCAACTAAATGACCATTCACAAATTGTTCCATCATGATAGCAATCCCTTTTATTCATTTCTTGACTAGATTCATATCAAACATTTATTTTGGTGCAGAATTGTAGTGATTTGTGAAGAATGTAGATCTTCAGGCTTGGCACTAAATTTAACCAGGGCCCTGTTTCATAAAAATTGTTATCAATAAAAAATTACAGTAACTGTTATAAGCTACTGAAATAATGGCATTTGATTGGTTGAGAGCAAATTTGTCATAGAAATTTAGCATTTGTTATTGATAACATGTTTTATGAAACAGCTAGGGCTCTAGTTCAACCCAGTCCACCTCTGTGAGTACGGCTCCAAGGCTTAACCCTACGTTAACTGGGGGGGGGGGGGTCAATTTGACCCCCCCCCCTGTAGAAATTTCGCGACTACTCCGAAACCGCGGCAGATATAACATTTTCCTTTCCTGACTTTTTACTTTCGAGTCTTACGCATCTTTTAAAACAATTTTTTTGAAAATCGGACCTACGGTTACAAGGTCACGTGACCTTTTGTCTTTGCATGTCAGCCCGAAAATTGCTCATTTTCGTGATTTGTGTACAAAACATATGTAAAAGTCATTTTCCCTAAAAAAAGATAAAAGATTGGTTATTCAGTCTTGTTTAAAGTTTAGATGTTTGTTTTGGGGTCAAAATAGTTGAATTGTAGTTATAAATGAAATAAAACAACAAAAACAATAAAATACATAAGTTAAAAAAACAATGAAATACATAAGAAATTATAAAAACAAGAGATAACATAAGGAATGACCTGGCTCTTCCAAGTTTTTGTGTTGTATTATTATTCCAAATGGTCTAATAAATATATGTGGTGAAAAAGAATAGGTAAACATGAATAATCTATGATTTATGGGCAGAAATGTGAATTTGATGACCTTATTTGCATAAATTACCATAAATATGCAAATGAGTGAATTTTTCAAAAATTTGAAATTACCATAGTATTCTATACACTTCACTTGACATGCATGCAAATTTTCGCGGCGATCGGCGGTGAAACGGCCGAGATCTTAGGGGGGGGGGTCAAATTGACCCCCCCCCCCCCAGTAAAAACCTGGTCTGAAATAGCCCAGTTAAAATAGGGTTAAGAAGCCTGGCTATGTAGTATGACCTGATCATACAGGCCCAAATTCATAAGGAGGTTTGTCGACAAACCTCCTTTTGTTATTTACAAACCAGGTTTGTAAAAAACGTGTCAAAACGCATCATATGACGTACATAAACCTCGGTTTGTCAACAAACCTCCTTTGTGAATTCGGGCCACAGAGTTTTGTTTCTAATGCCACACTTAGCGAGTATACCAGAAACTTTAATGCAGGTTTTATCATTTAATGTTTAGCTTACTGGGGAAAAATTTATATGGAAATTTTGGCTTGCACCCAGGGAATAAAGGTTGCATGCGTGATCATGATCTTATTCTTAAATGTTTTGTTCTATTGTGTGTTAGACCGAGAGGTGCGTTGATGCAACGTCGATCCAAGTCTGCTGTCGGACCACGAGAGAAACCCCATTACTATCAAGGTAAAGAACTCACTATTCCACCTTTCACTCTCCTACCATTATCTAGTTAAAAATATACAAGTACAGCCTGCCATGAGAGTTTAGGGCCCTGTAACACAAAGGTTTGAAATCGATTGCAAATTAATAATGGCCAATCAAATATACATTTAAACATCACTTGGAAGAACTTTGAAAAATCATGTGATTAAGGAAAATGATTATTATACAATGTAATGTGTTGACTGAAGAGTTTGCTGTTTTTGTTCAAACTTACTTTCTACCTGTATTATCTTGTGAAAAGTGGATGGAAACAGTGAATCAGAATTTACTGAAACTTGTCATTGGCTTTAAAAAATATATTTCACTGTTTTTGTGATCTACGGGCTGAGTTTATCCTGTTATTTTGGGTATTGATTAGCATCTTATGCCTTATCTTGCCTTGTAATGTGTGGTAATGTGTGCACATTTATTGATGTTTGTAAGTAGATAATAACTTTATCTGTTAGAGACAGAGGTTTGTTTCATGACATGGATACAGTCACTCACAGTTTGTAAGGAACTTGAAACTGTCTTTGATGAATATATTTTTTAACTTGCCTGAAAGTTTATTATATGTGTGTTATGAATTTGTGTTTTTAGTTGAATTTCAATGTATATTCTTCATATTTAAGTGTGTCACTTTCCTTTTACAATGTAACTATTGCATTTTGCTGAAGTAAAAAATGTGTGAAATTTCAGCTTAGAAATGATTCTATCATTTACAAAGTGTGTGAAGTTGATGTATTCTTTATGAAGATATCAGTGTGATATCTCAAAGCATTGAAACAAAGTTATTTAAATCATCAATACATGGCACCATGTTCTGTAGATAAAAAGTTCACCTTTGCTGATAAACAAGTTTAACAACTATACATAAAGGATATAAGGACACAGTATTTTCAATTAATATAAAAGTACAAATCGAAGATGGGAACAAAATATGTGCATACCATAGATATTTCACAGATTTGTATGTACATGTAAATGTGTGAACTATACAAAGATATTTTGATGTATCATATAGCTCTAATGTAATCATCCACTTTATGCATGGCCCCACTAATGATACCTTCATTTTCATTTGGAATCAATGTTTGGCATACTTAACTCAACAATGCACCTAACTCTTTCATATATACAGGACATGTTGCATGATGTTATGAATAAAGGGTTCCTAAGGAAGAGGAAGAGACACTTCTGTACATTATCTACCATAGCCTTATTAAATGCTATCTTGAGCTCTGTTAACTATATCATAAGAACAATAATACTACATGTAAATTCTTTTTTATCAATATAATTTTTTAAAATTTTTTGTATAGCACCTTACCACTTATAAGTTACTGACCAAAGTCCTTACGATTCTGCACTCTATAGTGCACATTCTCCACCCTTCTGAGGGACATTCTAGTCAGTCCCCTTTTTGATGGCTCCCAAATCCAATGATTGACATTTGCATCCTACTGGTTATACACTAATGCCTGGTAATAGAGAGGAACAATATAGATCAAATGAAAGTGGTATAGTCAAACTTTCAAAGGTTTTCAGTTATACTAGCAAAACTTAGGGGAAGGAAAGTTCCTGGAATCAAATTTGCTCAAAGGTCGGCTTTACTGTTATGGTGTGTGAATGAATCATTGTTGTCAATGTCTGCATGTCACTCATGGTATCCATACCCCGCCCCCATCCTTCATTCCTTCCATTTCAGACTCATCTCACCCACCTCCATCCCCTGCATCCACTGACTTTACCCACGCTGAGATAGAACATGATCCTGATCCTAGCTACCTCCATCAAGCTCATCAACATAATTTCCCATCATCATCATCATCTCGTCCAACGTCAGGGGTACGCAGGCCTACAACGCCCCCATTTGGAGGGCCTAAAAAACCACCTTCACCGCTTCATATGACTATCAAGTTTTTGTAATTTGTGTAGTGTAAGATCTTGAAACACGGATCTTAATTTACAGTTTACTTTGTATTAACCAACGCATAGATGGTCATTGTATCCACTGCCCTGGGGATGTTTCACAAAGACTAAGGTTGACTTTAAGTTGGACTTAACTATGGCAGGCAGTTCATGCCACTGTTTGCTCTCACCATTATGATCTTTAGATAATATTTTTTCCTTCAATAATAAATTATAAAAAAATGTAAAGTTTGTAGATTTGAGTTCATGATTTGTACGTCCCTGGAGAGATCAATGCCAGTAAATGGTGAGAGCAAAAAGAGGCATGAATGGCCTGCAATAGTTAATTCCAACTTAAAGTCAATCTTAGTCTTTGTTAAACACTCCCCAGGTATTAAAAGCCCCATTGAATTCCTTGAGGTTACAACTATTGCTAGGTGTAGTTGATTCAGTGATTTATCCGAATGACTGTTAAGAAGGCTAACCGCCTATGAAAATGACAGTCCATGAGACTGATGGCCAAAAAGTTTGACAGGACACGACTCGGAGATCGATAAGGTTTAAATAGTCATGTGAGCTTTCTGAAAAGTTGGTCTTCTGAGGTGTCCCCTTTGGAATCTGACTTCATTATACAATAAATGAATGCTTTGGCACTATTTGTTGTGCACAGCTATCCATCATAATTTGTATTTTCTAGTGTTAGACTTATACATGAAGTATCAAAGTCTCCACTCCTGATTTTGATTCCATGTCAAAAGAGTGCTTACTTTCATTTGTATAGCATCTATCAATATAAATTTGTGAATTTGCATCATGTTATTGTGGCTGATGTTATGGTTGATATTTTTCTTTAGGATGACTTATGTGATAGTGCATCTGTGTTTACATACAATCCTATTCACTATGTGGGTGAGTAGAATGTTTATCTTTACACTGATAAGCTTCAAAGCTGAATATAATATACATGCAATATTATTTTTTTCACAAAAATTAAGGCTGACACAGAATTTGTGTTCAGTCATAGTCATATATGCTAACCATGTAATTTACCTTTGGAATATGTCTATAAATCCTCCTTTACTTCTAGATTTAAAAGAGAAAAATTGATTATAATGTGGTTTTTATTGTGAAAACAAAAAAATGTCCACAAAATTAATGTCATTATGAATGATGAAAGCCCATTACCTCTCATTCCAGGAGGGCTTTTCACAAAACTTGTCATCAGTGACAAATGACAGTTTTTTGTTATAAGCTACTGAAATCCTTGCTTCTGACTGGTAATCAGCAGATTTGTCACTGATTTTTGTCATTTGTCATTGAAAGAAGGCTTTGTGAAACAGGCCCCTGGTAGCTGCCGCAAAGGCATGGGATGGCCTTCCATGCTTTATCCGAGCATCTCTTACCTTTGGAATCCTTTAGAAAAAGTGCTCAAGACACTTCTCACACTATGAACATGACAGACAATGAAAGCGGACAAAATATACAGTTCCTCAGGTAGACAAAGGAACATCCCTTCACTGCTATTATGTAAATATGTGTAGAACAGGTGTCACATGCATATTCACCTGTTCTACACATTTTTACATAATAGCAGTGAAGGGATGTCCTTTTGTCTACCTGAGGAACTGTATATTTTGTCCGCTTTCATTGTCTGTCATGTTCATAGTGTCACTTGATAAACTAGCTTTTCTGATGTAAATCTAAATATTATTTGCTCTGTATATACCACGAGTAGTACACCTTTAGTACATAGTTTAACTAATATACATGAATGTATAATGTTTTGGATCAAGCACTGCAAGAGCCTAAGCTGACAGATACAGGCACTGTAGGAGAAAACATTATTATTATTATTATTATTATTATTATTATTATTATTATTATTATTATTATTACTATTTGAAATATACTTGTAAAGAAAATTTGTAAAAACAAATGTATTTTCCTGTTAACCTTGAGGGTCAAGAAAAAGACTTTGTATAAAAATCTGCCATTGGGTAAGTCTAAGCAATGTGTCCCATACATTACCAATCACATCCCAGGTTTTAGTACAGATGATGGTTGCATTCAGTTGATAGTCCTACTAAAACTTGGATCAGAACAAAACAATGTAATAGGATAATTTTTTTAATATCAATTGATATTTGTAACTCCAGAATTGTTGGTAACATGTGGGGCATGAAAAGACCAAATACTTTGGACTTGGCTAATTATGGAGCTTTTATGTCATATAATATCTGTTTGTGTGCAATAGTTCATTTATGTAATGTCTTATCTTAGTTGTAAAAAGCTGTATTTAGTGTTTTATTGGCTTTGTCCATCACATTTACATTTATTATTTAATCCGAAGGTGGAAAATATAAAGTGGCCTTTTAAACACACACTTAGATAGCTCACATAATTCTGTATTATTTGTTATTTGAAATTAATTTGATTGTGCAATGTTCAATTCTTAGTATTTATCAGGGTTTTTTTCCTGGTGCATGTAAAGTGTCTCCTGACAAATATTGTATTTATTAGTTGTAAAAAAAATGTTTTATCAACAATTAATTCTTGTAAAATGCAAACAATTATTTAAGCTAAAATTGTATGGCATGTCCCTATCAATGTTACATGTTTCATTTTTATTTTGTGTAGATATGAAAGAAGGAACAAATTTAAATAGGAATTATATCTCGATTTCTCATTCAAATGTTACAATTTACTAATTATATTTTGTGGTTTTCAGAAATTTCTTTTGTAATTATTTATCGAAGGAAGAAAGTCTGAACATAGCTTGTGGGAAAAGCTCATGTACAGGTTTTAATATATATATATATATATATATAACCACAACATGTATATTCCGTCCAACATGTTTTCAAGTTACATGTATCTACAGCCTTATATACATTGTGTATACATCTACCCTGACCAGTATTCTCTTTCTATTCACGAGATTTGACATTTTGTAATATGTTTCATATGCACATACTTAAAGTCACATTTAGTAAACTGAATAAACAGTGATACATTTCATATTTTACACAGCTTTTTGGTCATGTTTTATACTTTTGTTTTACAATTAAGAACTTTAAATGTAGAAAGAAATCATCAATGAAAGAAATGGAGAGAAAATTGAATATTTGTGTGTAAATAAGCTATGCAGTATTTGGCAATATTTGAATCTGGCCTCACCAAAGTTACTAGCCCATATCTGTGGCCTTGTGGTTAGGGCATTTGGGTTCCAAGCCAGGGACCAGGGTTCAATTTCTGGAGCAGACTTTTTTAATATAGTTGCAAAAAATCACCTGATGGCAGCAGTGAGAAAGTTTGCTTATCCTCTCATTTTCATTTCTTGCAAGGTACACACAAATCACCAAAGGCATTTGCATCAGTCTGCTCTCTTTCATTGCATTTTACACGTATAAATGGGTGAGTGGGTGGTTTTTGTGTATACATGTATACATATATTCATACATGTAAAAAATGGGTGTGTGGGTGGGTTTTGTGTGTTTGTGTGTGCGCGTGTACCAGGTGTATTTATTTACTGTCTTTTGTTTTATGTTTTATAGTGACCTTGTAGGCCATTGCATATATGTGTGTCTTACCAAAAAAACATGCAAATGATAATAAACAACACTTTGGGAATTATACTTGCAGCAGTTTATTATCCATTCTATCAAAATATCAAAATATACATTTTGCTTGACATGAAATGAGTATAACAATTAGAGATGCATGAAGATACTGTTTGTGATGAGATTGGTAATAATGTCTAGAATAATCCAGTATATGGTTTTATTTCTTCAATGTTCCATTCAAGAAATAAATCCAACTACATTACTTTCCTTTTTGCATATTTTTGTTTGTGTACACAAATACATGTAGATGTAACCAAACTGTTGAACTGCTATGTTTTACAGTGTTTATATCCAGGAATCATATTATTAAATTCAATTAATTTCATTTATTTCTACAAAACTCATCAAAACAGTAAAATGAGTAAGACAAGGCAGAAGAAGAAGAAGAATTTTTTTTTGAAATATTACATTAGAAATAAAACATGCAGTAAAACATGACAGTTGAGTATAATGTTAGAGAACTAGCAAAGGCCTTTGCTCAAAGGCTCATCCTCAGCGAGGTTGAGATAAGAAAAGCTAGTAAATTATACAATCATTTAGAACTAAATATTGGACAATGTAAGACTATAAAAACAGAGTAGATGCCAAGTAGTACTTGCAAGAGAACTGCAATTATCAGACAACTCCAGTGTTCAAGCTTCTCTTGAAATATGAGACCACAGACTTGTATAGTCTGAATAATTCCTGAAATTTAAAGATATTGAATATGGACCACTAGAATTCACATCAAGTTCCATTCATGTTTCATTTAGAACTGTATGAATTACCAAAAATGTACATTAAACCCTTTTAACTATCTATTAATCAATCCCTTTTTTTTCTTTACTAATGCTAAGAATGTTCCATGGGAATGTCGGGTTTACATTTGAATGTCAATGAATCGACTGATCTGGCACTCGTTACGGGCCTCTCCATACATGCCGATGACGCAGCGACAGATGAAGTCAACCTGACCAGTAGCCTGGGGTTGGATCTGTTGATAGACCATCCTGGGTAGCAAGGTGCTTAAGTCGCGATGTTCAGTCTGCAGCCAGTGAAGACCCATTACAGAACCTGTGATGAAAATGTGCCAAAATATGTTATGCATTAAGAGTGGAGAACATCATGTACACATGTTTCAAGGTTCATTGCTATGATGCAGTTGACACGGTGATTCTACTGTGCCAGAATATTTTATACATTTCCTGTTGGAGGTAAATTTCCTTGATATATTGTAGAATTTTACCTCACATTAAGTCTAGAAGTTGGTCCCAATGATCTTTACAAGTACATATATAACAGAAAAGTTGTTTGCAAGGTGCCATGACATTCTTGTTTGCATGATTTATCTCAATTATCAGACTATAGCTATTTAAAGTTGTTTTAAAAAAGTGATCAACACTTACCACGAGTGGCCTTTGCAAGTTTAGCATACTGTCCTGAAGGAATGGCTAGACGATTGATACCCTCTTCACCGCTGTTCTTCTTGTTGATGATCTGCTTACCGAGGTAGTTGACACCCAGGATTGGAGAATCTGTACTCTTCTTGTTCAGAGTAGGGTAGGATGAGAAGACATTGAAGGTGATTCCTTGACGGGCCAGGCTTTTCTGAATAGCTACTCTGCTGTTGTTGATTTGGAAGTAGTATTCAAATCTGTTGGTACTCTCCTCCTTGAAAAAATAACAAGACAAAATGAATTTTAATGTATGGTTATATGTTATATTCACCAAAGCAAATGGGTTAATTAGTTAAAGCCTTATTAGCAATAAGTAACCATGCCTTATTTTGTAAAGGATTGTGCATGCAAGTATACGTACCATCAAATCTTCATCGGCAATCAGGATGATGATCTTGGCAGCCTCCTTGCGGAATGGATAGCTGGCAGCAAGCTGGATAGCCCCCATAGCATCAACGGGCCTAGCTCCTTTGAAGACTAAGCTGTCAATACCGCTGGAAGCACAGTCCACGCTGCTTTCCATCAGATGTCCACATAGTGTATGAACATGAGGTCGCCCAAGGATGTCTGAGCCACCATATGCAGCAATGCCATATTTAACATCCTGCACTTCATGGGTATTTAGCACGCTCTTCATATTTCGGATGCTGGTCTTGATACTTGACTTGATCACATTGTCTTCAGCCATTGCAGCAGTTTCAGACACGACGAAGATGATATCTGCAGAGCTTGTAGACCTGACATTCTCCTGGTTGACTTCCCCAACAGTGCAGTCAACTACCAAGAAAAAGGTTAGATTGTAGTTAGTAGGATAATGTGATTGCAAACATATATATTTTTGTGCAACAAGTAATACTTAGAATAATTCTTGAACATATTTCAGATAATTTCACCAGAAAAAGTATTGCATGTTTACATACGAAATATAAGTGTCAAACATTCCAACTTATTTATGTCTTGAAGAAGAATTTTTTTCCAATCCCTTCTTAATTAATTTTCAGGAAGAGGCTAGAAAGTCAATGTTGCATAACTCTAGAATATATTGCTAGATATGTTCCATCCTCATTTCTCATTTAGCTTAGCAACTCTTTCCATTGTACAAGTATGTGCAATCTAAAGTAACTCACAGCATTCAGGATCATAGTCAACGTTGCGCTGGAGATCCTTGCCAAGACGAACAACAGGATTGGTGACTTCACATGTTGGGTTGCACTTCCTAGTCTCCTCAACACAGAAGTTGTAGAACTCTTCCTGGTTGATATCCTGGAAGGTGGCATTCAATGTTGAGTCTTCATCAAGGAACATCTCTCTGCATTTCTCACTAGTTGATCGGCAAGATCCTAATCTAGACGGAATGACATTTCTTGATGTATGTGGAGAGACATCATATGCTGAAATGAACTCTGCCAAGTCAGTTGTAATACCGCCTTCTGGTAGGATAAATTCGTTGTGATGTTCTGTGTCAAGGTTGCCTAGGAGTCCACGAGACTTTCCATGGTACCAGCCACTTAGATGGAAGATGCATGGGAACATTTCAAGATGGCAGGAAAGAGCAATGCCCTTGGTTGATGTCACATTCACCCATGGACCCTTAGCCATAATGGTCAATTCCTTGCTGATTGGTGTCTGGTAGGGTAGTTCCTGCAGGGTTGGCAATCCATTGATATGGACAACATTCTCATCATCAATTGCAATGCTCATGTTGCGGACTACAAGGGTAATGCGCTTCTTCTGGACCAAGAGTGTGAAGTTACTATCTACAAAGTCATGGGCGAGGACGTAGGTCTGTTGTTCGCTCCCAAACTCTGGAACACTGTAGACTTTGCCATCAAATGTCATCATGTGGTTTGTTCGGAAGACCATGGCAGTATCTGTAATGATAATTTTTTTCTTCTTAGTGATTTGCCCCAAGTCAATTACTCAGATGAAAAGTAGATGAAAACCAAACTCTAATACATTCCAAAGTACTTCTCGATCTTGTCAATAGTCCGTCTTTCTATTGAGACATTTCTTTTATTGGATAATTAATAGAAAATGATCATGGAAATAATATAATTATAATTATATCCATTATTAAGGGTGTATACATGAAACACAACCAAATAGTTTTATATTCTCATCCAGTAGTTGTACATTCCCATGACCATCTCATGTTTCTGATTGTACACATCATTATGTATTTACCCTTCCGGTAATTTAATTTAACAGGCCATCTCACTACATTGGTAAATGAGATCCCAAGGTGTAAACATTGATAAATGATATTTCTTTTAATCTTATCCCAAAAAAGGAAAAATGAGAATGATTGTGAATTCAGCCAAATGTAACTCACATTTCCATGGAGAGTAGACCTTCATCTGTTCCAGAGGAAGAATTTCAACAGGAATACGGAGCTCTTTTAGCACTGCCAAGACTTTGTTAATATATTTAGATAATTTGGTCTTGAGTTGTAGCTTAAGGTCCTCAATGTCATCCTTGATCTTCTGGTAGGTTTCTGGCCAGTTCTGTTTGATCCCCTTGATCTTCTCCAGCAGTTCAGTCCACTTCTCGGTGGCCTTTATCTTCAGAGTCTCCACCTTGGCCATTACATTCTCTCGGAAGTGAGTGGCATTTTGTTTGAGTTCCTCCATGATGACCTTTGCAATCTCGTACTGGGCCAGGACTTGCCTCTTGATCTCGGGATATTTTTCTTCCATTATTATTCTCTTCAGCTCTGGGAACTTCTCTTCAAGGAGGACTCTCTTCAACTCAGGCAAGGTCTCAGTCTTGAAATGAATAGCCATCTGTTTCAGATTGGTCAGCAACTCGGGGTCCTTAACAAATCTTGTCAGATTGGTGATCATCTCGTTGATCTTTGGCTTGATCTCCTCCTGCCATCTGGTCAAGATTTCTTCTTTCTTCTCCATGAGGCGAGGCTTCCATTCAGTTTCCCACTTTTGCTGGTAAAAGTCCTTTTTCTCATTGAATTTTTGCTTGTACACATCAGAGATATCCTTGAAAATGCCCAAAACGGACTTGACCTCTGCGATACTTTCCTGGAGTCTAGTACGGAATAGCTCAATCTTTTCATCGATCAAAGGCTTTTTCAGCAGATAGTAATCATTCACCGTCTTGGAGATATTGTTATACCTCTCTGTCAGGTTCACACGAATCTCTTGCAGAGTGATGTTGAGCTGTAACATCTTATCCTGGATAGAAAGAAGAACAAAGATATACAAGAAATCATTGTTAGTACATTATTTATCAGGTTTGATATTGAATGAGTGAAAAATGAAACAGGTATCCTTGTTGATACATCATATATCAGAGTTGATATTGAATGTTAATTTTGTGTTAATAGAAGGCCTACAATTTGAACTTTTACAATAGTAAAAGCAAAAGAAAGTAAACGTTACAAAAGAAGACAATACCTTGATGAACTGGATCTGGCTGTTGCTCAGTTTGGGCAGTGTCCTGAAGCTAGTCCAGTTGAATGGATGAGAGATGTTCATGGCAAAGCTGTGGTCATCAAGACGGCCAATGGAGTTGAGCGTATCCACGATCAGCATGCGGGTACGGTTCATGGCTTGTTTGGTTAATAAACGGGTTTGGTTTATGGCCTGGCCAGTGAAGAGGCGAGTCTGGTTTAGTGCATACTGGGTCATGATGCGGGTCTGGTTTAAGGCGTAGCGGGTCATGACTTGGCTTTGGTTAATAGCCTTCTGTGTCAGGAGACGTGTGCAATTGAGGGCAATGATGGTCAGATTCCTTGTTCTTTCAATTGGCTTGATGGTTGCAAGGTATGAACTAACCTTTGTTGGGAATTGATCCACTTCATAGTAGCGGATTACCCAGCCTATTTGACAAATGAAGTGCAGAAAATATTTGAATTAATAATGGATACAGTATTGTCACTTAAGGTACTATGTTCATTTGCAGCCAACATCAAGTTCTGTAGAACTTTGCAGAAATTATGAATATGTCTTGTATGTCCTATCTGTGAAATGTAAACGTTAGCAGTGTCCTAGTATTCAAATTATGCAAGGAACCCTGTTTACTTTATAGACTTCACTGTCTGACACTATTGAGTGGCTGACTGACTTCTTTTTGCTTTGGTAATAGAATACATAAAATGAGCTGTAAAGGGTACATGAGCATTTGTCTACATCAATATCCTAATCCCACTTCTTGTAATGGTCAAAATTAAACTGATTGAATCTTTGCGCGGCATGAAACGTACAACCATCCGGTACAAGGGTCTGAAAATCAGACTATTTTCAAAAAGGATTGCAATCCCTAAAGTTGATTCGACAACTAACGGTAGTTACTATTCCACATGTTATCTTTCAAATTCCGGTGGAATTTAGCCTTTTCATTTTTTTTTTGGCCTGCAAATTGGACATAGTACCTTTGAAGCATTATTACAGAGAATCATCCATATTATTTACTGTAAATCTTTAGACATTTAATGTTAAATATATGTTTTGCTACTGTATGTGTAATACGGTCATCAAAATGAAAGTTGAGTAAATTGCTTTCCTTACCTGCCATGGTGTTGTTGACATATGTCACATATTCCAGGGCAAAATCTTTGGCAGGTCCCTGAATGTAGGTCACAAGGGTGTTAGTCATGTTGCGGGCATAGTTGATTGTCCTTGCTGTCATATTCTTAGCCTGGTAGATTGAGTTCTTGGTCAGGTTCCTGGCCAGAAGAGCATACTCCCTGGAAAGATTGACAAGTCGAGTTTCATCCCTGATGTAGATGACCAGATTGATGCTCCTGTTGCGGATCATATAGATGGTTTCATTGGCAACCTTCAGACTCCTGACAATCAGATCTTTGGTGTTGTTAAGATACATCTTCATTTTGGCAATGCTTTCTTCTGATGTTAGATTCTTCCATGCTTCTATGGCTTTGGCTTGGACAATAATGAGGGTCTCGTTGGCTTTGTTCATCACAATGACTGATGTCCTGTTAAGGAAGCACATCGTCTCGTTGATGGTAACCCTCCATGGTTGGAAACGGGTGCGGTTAAGGAAGACAATGAGGTCCCTGGCAGTTTGGTTCAGGAGTGGAAGAACAACCTCTCTGAGGGTGGTGTTGGATACATTCAAGACATCATAGAAGTTCTTGTTTACCATCACCAGAGATTTGTTGGCGTAAAATTTGGTCAAGTTTGAGGCCACAAGAATCTTTCCATAGGAAATGTTACCTACCTATATTTTAAGAAAAGAAGGCAAAAGAGACATGCTTTACTTTTACAATAAAAACAATTTGAAAGGGTACAATTATATCAAAGATATCAAATTGGGGGGGGGGGGGGCGGGAAGTTTTAAAGATTCAAAAGAATTTGTCTTTAATTGCTTTGTGGTTTATTCACCAAATATATTTATTTTTTTAATGATGTAAATTCATTGTGCAGGTCAATTCTTTGGGGTTACTTTCTCCTCTCCCTTTTATATTTCTTCTTTACAAAGTTTTTCGAATAGCAACATGTATCTTTTAACTCACCTCGAAGACTGTCATGTCCAGGAATTTCACAGGATACTTGTTGAGCAGACTTTTTCGGTCCTTGATGCTCATCTTTGCATTTTCAACAAGATTCTCTACAAGTTGTCGGATGTATGCATTGAGGTCTTCACTGAGTTCAAAGATGGTCTTTTCCATTGATCTCATTGGCAGCTCATTGATGAGTGAGAATTCATCTTTGGCTGCAAAGATTATGGCTTCAACTGTCTTGTTGATGCCCTTCTTGGTAGCGTTCAGGAATTCTCCAGACTTTCTCACGATGATTGGCCTCCATGTCTGCCATTTACCCTGAGCCTTGATCTTGTAGGTGATGAATTTGTCTTTTCCAAGCATGTACACATCCTGAGCTTTCTGTCTGTAGATGATGTACATCTCTGTGGCATTCTCCTTCAGTTCTCCATAGAGGCGCGTCATGTTGGCTTTCACTTCTTTGTAGAACATTGTAATATTGACTTTCAGTTCCTCAAGCTTTACCTTTATTTCATCAATTTTCTGGATGGTTTTTTGCTTGTACTCAGGGTATCTTTCGATGTGGTATTCTGCACTTTCCATCAAGTAAGCCTCGGTCTGGGCAGAGAGTTCACAAACACGTTCTCTCAAATTGGCAGCACGAAGCTTTATCATTTCAACCTTCTGCCTCATGATCTCACGATAAGGTTGCACACGAGGTTCAAGGAACTCTATTGTCATGTTGATGTATTTGTCAGTGATGTTGCGAACCTGCAGAGTGTAGTTGAAGAGAGCTTGCCTGGCATAGCAAGTGTAGTTGCGGATGGTCTCATTGACAATTGGAGCATACTCCTGATAGTACAAGGTAACATTTCCTTTGGCCATGTTGTAATACATGATTGCTCTTTCCTTTGCAATCTTGCTCTTTTCAAGTACAGTCACTTTGTATTTCTTCATTGCCTTCATGACCACAGGACTATACGTCTCCCTGAGAGCCATTACTTTGTCGATTGCAATTCGAGAGTACATCTTGGTGAGGTTAGCCAATTGCTTGCTGTATGCCTTTGTGAGGTTGGCTAATTCCTTGCTGTAAACCTTAGTGAAGTTGACTGCCATCTTGCTGTAGAGGGCTGTAAGATTCATTGTCATGTTGACAGGAGGTTGAACAATTTGATAGATGGTCCTGTTGAAGTAGCAGAGTGGAAGCATATTGACAGGATGAGTTTCGTTCTTGGAGATAGCGATGATCTGGGTAATTACCTCATCAAGGAGTTCCTTCCTCTTCATGTACTCTAGGCCCATGCGAACAAAAATTTCGTCATATTGTTCCTTCCTCTTCATGTATTCATTGACGATCTTTTCAATTATCTGATCAACATCAATGTTGTATCTTTCTATGATGTAATCAGCAGCAATGACCTTCATAGCAATCAGACGCTCCTTGAGCTCTTCAAGTGATCTTGGGCGAGCATCCCACTGTTCCTTCAGAACTGTCTTGATTAGGTCAGCCTTTGTCTTGACAAAGAGTGTTACAGCTTTGGTCAAGTTTGCTACCTTTTCTTTGGTGATGTTGAAGACGAGCTTCAGATCTCCCTTGATGACATCAACATAGACGTATTCATGGAGGGTAGAATTCCACTCTTTTAGCATTCCAACGGCCTGCTTGATGGTCTCATTCAAGTATGTCTTGTTGACATAGCGGAAAGTGGTTTGGTTAAGCAGTTCAAGACCGTTGATCATGTTGTCTTTCATATCTATTGCCAGATCCTTCGTTTCCTCTATACTGGTCTTGTTGATGATGTCAATGACATTGCGTGGTCTGATGCGGATGACCTTACGCATAAGCTCCTGGACCTGGGCATCATCTTGGTAATCAATGAAGATGGACGTTGCGATTGCATCAGTGGTGGTGCTGTTTAGGTAGTAGCGGATTAATTTCTTGATCTTTCGTTTTTGGACTCTGAATTTTGCCTTGATTGTTTCCTTGTCGAGGGAAGCAATGTTCATCTTCATCTCATTAATCTTTTCTCCAATCTTTACTTTGAGTGCAGCCATTTTTTCCTTGATTTCGCCAATCTTTAATTTCAATTCTTCAATCGTCTCCTGGAACTTGGGAACATTGAATCTGGTCTGGATATAGTTGACAAGAATCTCAACTCTAGCTTCATACTGGATAAGCTCCTTGAATTCAGCTACAGCAGCTACAACCTTCTTGGTTAGGTTTGCCCTGAGTTCCTCCAGATAATCCTTAGCACTAGTCATGATTGCACCTCGATTCACCAACACCCATGTGATTTGTTGACGACGCCTTTCATACTTGATGAGGGTCTTGATGTTTTCCATGGTTTCTCTAGGATGAGTGATGTTGTATCGGAGCTTCGTGTATAGTTCCCTGAGTGTAGCATTAAGCCTGGTTACTCTTTCATTCAACTTTGTAAGGTTGACATACCTGCTGACGAATTCCCGAGGGTTGTTACGGGCAAAGGTGATGGTCTCATTGAGTTTCTGCATCTG